AAAAAAAAAAAAAAGAATCCCCCAAGCTCGCCGAGCCGGAAGCCGAGCCGGAAGCAACACGAAGCGGTCTGGGAGATGCTCCTCACTCACGTGCTCCAGCCAGCACATCTGCGCGGGGCATCTGTGGGAGGCTGCTCGTGGGCGCCACTATGGGGATTGAGCGAGGTGACACCGAGGCACAAGGCAGGCATTGCTGGAGTCTGAGGAGCTCGTGGTCCCCTCTGTGTCTTCCACAGCCAGCGCTACTGCATGTGCAACCCCGAGGTGGTGCAGCAGTTCCACAACCCCGATACCATCTTCATCCTGGCCTTCGCCATCATCCTCCTCAACACCGACATGTACAGTCCCAATATTAAGCCTGACAGGAAGATGATGCTGGAGGACTTTATCCGAAACCTGCGAGGTGAGCGGGCGGGGCTGGGGTCGGAGGGGCGTGGCCATTGCTCAGGGCCTGTCCTGCTTCCTGTGAAGTCTGTGAGTCTGAGTCCCAATCATAGATTCCACAGTGGGCTGGGAAGGTGGCTTGCTCACCAGGCATCATGGGGGTCTCCTGGTACCCACACTCCGCTCACAGCAGGGGCCCTGGGGCAGTACAAATACGGCTCAGTGTGTGACACCTGCCCTCAGCACTGGACTTGGCGCTGGGCAGTACCAACCCTTCCCACTCCACTGCTTACAAAGGAGAAACCAGGGGCAGGGCCTTTGGGCCCTCGGCCTGCCTAATTCAGCCTTGCAGTAACCTTCTGGCATTTGCCAGCCAAGTCCTTCTCTGGTGGACACGGCACTACTGAGAGGGACCAAACTTTTTTAAAAAGCAAGTGTTATATATGCTGGTGATACCTTCTTGGCATTTTTAAAAAATCAAAGCTATACACACATAATATACTTTTTAAATTTTTTGTCTTTTTGAGACAGGGTCTCGCTATGCAGTTCAGGCTGGCCTTGAGCTCACTTTGTAGCCCAGGCTGGTCTCAAACTCACCGTGATCTTCCTGCCTCAGCCTCCCGAGTGCTGGGATTACAGGCGAGCGCCACCATGCCTGGCTTATATACACATAATTTAATAAAATAATTCTACCAGGCTCACTACAGAAAATTAGTCCCTGCCTCTCTCACCACTCTCCTCAGAGGTGCATGTTTTCAACTTCTAGAGCTGTTTATTTTTATATTTATTTATTTATTTATTGCAGTGCTGGAAGGTGTTTACCCAGAGTTTTGCACATGCTAGGTAAATATTCTACCACTAAATTACATTCCAGGCGTGTTAGCTATATATTTTGTTTCCTCTGAACCAATAAATAACATGCTTTTGTCTCAATTTTTCTTTTTTTTAAAAAAATTGGTGCATATGAATAAGCTGCTCTAGTCTCAAGAACACCAGGCGCCTGAGACAAGCTACGTGGATAAGCTGTTAGGTAGAGGGGTTTCATGTGACATTCAACCTCCCCAGTGTATAAATAAATGCACTGCAGCCCTTGGGGTCCGCTCCTCCTTCTCCTCCTTCTCATCCCCCACCTCCTCCTTGTCCTCTTTTTTTTTTTTTCTTTTTTGAGACAGGGTCTCACTATGCAGGTCGGGCTGGTCTTGAGCTCACTTTGTAGTCCAGGCTGGCCTCAAACTCGCAATGATCCTCCTGCCTCAGCCTCCCGAGTGCTGGGATTACAGGCGTGTGCCACCACGCCCGGCTCCTCCCCCTCCTCTTTCTTTCCTTACTTTTTCTCCCATCAGGAGAGAGGGTTCCATCTGGCCTTGGTTTTCTGTAAAAATAAATAGATAAATAAACATTGGTATAAAATACACTCTGCACAGGGTGCAGAGATGCCTGTGTAATCACACCTGTATTACAGACTGATCGTCGCCATCATCCCAGAATGTTCTTTTGTATTCCATCCCCTCTGACACCCTCGCTTAGCCTTACATTATTCTGCCTTCTAACACCCTTAAACAGTTTTGCCGACCCTTGAGCATTAGACAGTGCACAGTACATATACACTGCTATCTGGTTCCTTTTATACACTATTACTTGTTAACGCTTTGAAATGATAAGCGTTATCTTTTAATTTCCCATTATAGACTATCAGAAGTTAGCTCATCGTCATCCACCTTCTCCAAACCATCCCCACCGAAACCAGTGTTCTTGTTACAAGGAGCAAGTGAGCATGACCCAGAGCTGCCTCTTGAAGGATGCAGTGGTCACAATTCCTTTCTAGTTCTACTTTCCTAGGAGTCACTACTTGTCTTCTTTTCCGTTCGCTTAGCTCTCTCGGTCCCTGCCACCAGCCTCTCCCCCTCTTTCCCCTGAGAATGAAGTTCCTGCCCCTCCCTGTGGACCTGGGAGGGTCTCAGGAGTTTTGTCTTGGAGCTGCCTCTCCTGGACCCCCCAGCTCTGCTCCGTCTGCACGGGCACACACTGACCTCCTCACCTTGCTCCCACGCTGGAGCGCTGGTCTCTGGATGTCGCAGCTTCCTCGATAGTCAGTTGACTTCCAGAGAAAAGGCACATCAGAAACAAAAATTAGAGATCTTACATTTTTTAAATATATCCTTCACGTCACTATGGATTGGAAGTTTGCTAGGAATAGAGATTCGGGTTGGAAACATGTAAGTCAGGATGTGGAAGGCATGCCTTAGATTTTAGCTGACAGAGCTGCTCTGCCATTCTGATTTCTGACCTTGGTGTATGTTATGCTTTCTCTCTTTGGAAACTTGTTGGTTCTTCTGTTCACCTTTTGTGCTCTGAATTTTCTCAGTGATGTGCCTGCAGAAGGTGCTTTTCTCATTGTTGTGCTTAGTAGTGGGTTGGTCCTTTCAGTCTAGAAACACGTGTCCTCCAGTTGTTCCTCAGAATTGTTCCTGAGAATGATTGTTCCTCAAAATCCCCAGAGATCTGATAACAGGACCCCCCAATACTCAAGTTCTTTATATATATGAAATTGTGTAGTATTTGCATTTAACCTATGCATGTCCTCCTATATACTTCAAATCATCTCTAGATTACTTAGGATGCCTAATACAACGTAAATTCAATGTAAATAGTTGCTATATATTGCTTAGGGAACAATGACAAGAAAAAGTCTGTATATATTCGTGACAGGTGCAATTTTTTAAAAATATATTTTTGACTGGTGGGTTTTGGAACCCATAGATGCAGAACCCATAGATACAGATGCCTGCGGAATTGTATATAGTGATTTATTTTCTCCCTGTTCTCTGTACTCTTTCTTGTAATCCTGTTATTCAGATGTTGGATCTCCTATTTGGCCTAATTTTTATAGCTTCGCATATGCCATCCTTGTTTCCTTGGTTGGCCCTATGGGTCAGTGGTGCCTCGGTTCACGAACTTAATTCCTTCCATGATTCTGGTCACAGACTGAATTGGATGGGAACCACATCAAATTTCCCCAGAAAGTCAACACTGAACCTAACCGTTGAATTTGATTCTGTTCTCTTCCAATTTGGTTTGCAACCAGAACCATAGAAAGAATTAAGTTCATGAACTGAGGTACCACTGTATGTCCCTCAGTCTTATCTTTCAAGCATGTGACTAAGTTTTCCATTCCTGCTCTCTTTTTAAAAACTTACTCTTCACTTCTCATAGCTGTTTTTTGTTCTCTAAATGTCCTTTTATAGCACTTTATTCTTGTGGATATGACATTTTCTCATATCTCTTTGAAGATAGAATATGTTCTTATTTGTTTTAATTTCTTCCTGCTTGCTCCCATTTCTTCTGGGGTTCCTTCTCCTGTTTTCCCCCTATTTCTTTCTCTTTTGGGTTACAGACTTTCCATATTCAAGAGCCACTGAAAAGATGATCAAAACCTCAGGGGACATGGGTGAGGGCTGCTGCCGGTGTCCTTTCTCTCAGGGTGATTTAATTGAGCTGTGTCATGGGGTGATCCGTATTGCAGTATCTTTAGGTATTTCTCTTATGGTGGTTGACTACCCAGCAAACACAAAGGTCTGTTCTGTTGCCCAGGGAGTACAATTCTGGCTATTGCTGTGCTGAGATCTTTTTAACAAACGGGGTGAGGGCCCTCTCATGCAGATATCTGCCTCATCCCCCCATTTTCAAGGCAGATTCCAACCACTGGCTGGTACTGGGGTTCCCCAGCCCCAGGCTCATGGTGCACCCTTCCCAGAAATGAGCCGCCAGTCTTCTGCTGGAGCGAGGAAGGAATAGGGAAGCCTAAATGATGCTAGCTGATTTCCAGCCTGTTTTCCTACCTCTAGCCCACTTACCTTCACCTCGGGACTCCTATCTCTCCCAGTTCTGAGCCCTTCGGTGGGATGTCCAGAGCTTCTAAGCCTTCTGCTAGCTCACATTTCAGCTTTCATAGGTGTGCTAAGCTGTCCAATCATGCATCCACTTTCCAGGCCCCGGTGCGCTCTCCCTTCCTCTGTCCTCTGTCTTTGTGGGTTTATGCCTTTTGGAAACATTCCTTTTCACCAGGTATTCTGAAGGACCAGAGGCAAGTTGGGGAACTGGACACCTGTGTGTGGCCTGTCTCCCTTGTTGCTCTTTCTTGCCTGCAGCTTGATTTCCTGCAGGGCTTCAAGGTACGGCAAGGCTCATTTGCCAGACCAGAAACCAAAGTAACAAATGGAAGAAACAGGGACAAGAGGGGAACTGCTCATCGAAGGCGTGATGTCCTCTCAGAGGTTGAGAAAACTGCTATCATAGTCGCTCTATTTTAAATTTTTCCCTTTTGTAAAAGAAGCATGTAGGCATTAAAGAAAGATTTGCAAAACGTAGAAAGAAGAATTGTTTTAACTGCGTGTTTCTACAGCAGAGGAAATTTGTTTTCATGTTAGCATATTTCCTGCTAGTACTGTTTGGTTGCTGGAGCATTAACATTGCAAGGTAGTAGGCATGGAGTGGAGGGTCGGCTGCCTGCATCGCCACAGACCCCAGGCTGCTCCTCTTTGCTTCCTGTACAATCCCTCAGCCCAACACTCCTCCTGAGCAGAGAATCTTGTCACCCATTCCGCAAGGACTCGCTCAAGACAGAACTCCCTACTGGAGGGGAGTTGAAGCCCAAGAAAAGGAGATCCCAATGCAAAAGGACAGGTCTTTGGAAAGCTGCTCACACAGTGCGGGTCAGGAGAAGTCAGGACAAACACCGAGGACAGTAGAACCCTGGGAGCAAAGATGCCCACAGGAGCCTGCATTTGGCCAACAGGAAAGAGTACCGAGTGTGGGAGGTTCTTGTTGAGATGCATCAGCTGACGAGGCTGGAAATGTGTAGTACTTGTGGTGCCTGGCGAAGAAGTTTGTCCTTACTTTAATGGGTCTGAGAAGCCAACCACTGAAAGCTTTGGATCAAGACAAAACTGCACCCACCTCCCAGAGCATCAGTCTAACCGTCTTACTGCTCTGACCCTCCGCACTCACACACCTCTCTTTCTCCCTCTGTGTTGCTAGGTGTGGATGACGGTGCTGACATCCCCAGGGAGCTGGTGGTAGGCATCTACGAAAGGATACAGCAGAAGGAACTCAAGTCCAATGAGGACCACGTCACCTATGTCACCAAGGTGGAAAAGTCCATCGTGGGCATGAAGACAGTAAGTGTCTGCCACAGAGCAGCGTTTGCCATGGGTGGGGCAGCTTCCTCTTCCATGTTTCCAAGCCACCCCATCTCCTGTTCCCTCGCCTTGCTTTCTTCCTGGCCTCTCCTTCTACTCTCCTCCCTACTTTTCAAAACCTACAACGATGGTGTTCCAGACACTGTCTTTTCCCTTGCTGGTTTCCTCCCAGTTGTCAGGAAGTACTGCCCAGTGGTCTAGGGTTGCAGCCTCTGGATGTCCAGGTGGAAAGTTTAGCATCTGCTTCTTAGGCAGGATAAATACCAGGCACTGCTGGACATTTCCGGTGAACAGACAGCAGGAAATGGGCTCAGGTAGGCTGTGGGATCTCAAGCCAAGCAGGTGCCCCATTGTTGTGATCTGTGTCACAGGTGACATGGTCTAAGTATGCAATAATTTTTAAAGCCAGCACCCTCTGTAGGTCACTGCACTACTCATGTCCCCAGAAGTGATTTATACCACGAATGGGCAGGTTGTAGAGCAGCTTCCAGCCCCCTCGTTGAGTGGCTGGCTCAGGGAGTAGGTGGGGAGCTGGAGTCCTGCACTGAGGCTGTGCCTGGCCTTCCTCTCCTAGTAGGTACAAGGCGGGCATCTTGTGCTGTCCGGCCTTTATGGCCAGCCCCATCTGGTTTGCAAATGGCTTGCTTTTCTTACGCACTTAAGTAGCTTTGCAGTGCGGCTGTCCCTGAACTGCCCTTGCTTTGTCCATTTGCATTCGGTGTGCAGTAAAGAAAGGGGCTGAGGTGTCACACTGGCAGAACGTCGCCTGAGACCTAGGCTTACAGTATGTGGATTTGAACAGTCTGAAAGCCTTTTTGCAGTTTCAGTTTCCCACCCCTTAGTGCTCTCATTTACTCCAGCGTATTAACCCATTCTCTTCTGGCTCTGCTCCCCAAAAAGCGTGATGAAGGGGAAAGAGCCCCAGATGAGGAGAAAGGTTTGTGATCAGTGCAGACCCCACTGTAGCAGCAGGGCCCCCACTCTTCTCCCTGGGCCTCGGGTCCTCCTCTGGGAAGTGGGTGCTCCGGGGCGGGGTGCGGCCTGGAGCTCTCTGAGTGCCTTGCCTGGGTTCTAGGTGCTGTCGGTGCCGCACCGCCGCTTGGTCTGCTGCAGCCGGCTCTTCGAGGTGACAGACGTGAACAAGCTGCAGAAGCAGGCGGCACATCAGAGGGAGGTGTTCCTCTTCAACGACCTGCTGGTGGTGAGCCGCAGATACCTGAGGCCTGGGGCAGGCTGGGCGGGGCCAGGTCCTTTACCGCCCAGAGGCTCCACCTACTCAGGACAAGGGGATGGGGCAGGCGGCCTGCTGCACAAAAACCCTGGAGGGGCCAGAGAGGAGGCCTGGAGCTTCCAGATGCATTGCTGTCTGCACAGGGACTAGGTCACTTTTTCCAGTGCACTTGTCTATCATGGGTGTGAGATAGCTCAGCAGATTCCTGCTCTGTGAGTCGTGAAGCATAGAGATCTGAAATGATTTGTTCATGGTTAAACTTCCTGGTGGAAATGAACTAGACCCCAGACCATCTGCCTATCCAAGTTACAGGAAATCTGGGCCAGGGGCATGCCTGGTCCTGAGAGGGTCAGTGGGCCTTCGTGGAGCTTGGCTATCCCTGGTATGGGTAGAAGAGGCTGGAGTGTGTGTGTGTGTGTGTGTGTGTGTGTGTGTGTGTGTCCATCCAGAGGGTACCTGTCTTTGCTCTTTGAGAATGGGTCTCCTTTCAACAAATTTTTAGTCTGTCTCAACTACGTGCCTCAACCGTGTGCCAGGCACTGGTGTAAGTGCTGGGAAACGGGTGAACAAGATTAGAACAGATTTGTCCTCCCCTGGTGCTGCCCCATCCTCTTTCAATGAATGAACCACGAGGACATCACCACCCCTAGAAGGACCCTGGCCCAACCCCCTCTCACCACCTGCCCGGCCACATTCTGGTCTGGCCCCGGCACCTGGCCAACCTCAGCCACTAAGACCCTCCTCCCACCGAGCAGATGTACAGCCCTCCTGGGAGCACACTGCCTCCTGCGCATGAGGAAGTGAGGGCTCCCCTTGGGGTGCTGGGTCCTCTGACCTCTTTCCCTGCACACGCCCGGGGCAGCTCGAGCGCTCTGGCCCCAGGAACTGCCTGCCATCTCTTAGTCCTTTTTCTGGCAACTCCTTCACCTGAAAAGCTCCCCTGGGCCTCAGCGCGGCCACCTCCCTGCTTCGTGCAGACCTCAGTCCCATTGGCTCCTCCCGGGAAAGCCGTCCCGCCCACAAGGCAAGGCGGCCTGCCAGTCACCTGTGGCTCCTTACCCTAGTTCTCTTTCTTCAAAATACTCACCAGTGTCTGAAATTACCTTATTTACCTCCTCCTTCCTTTCTCTTTTACTGTTGTGCTCCACTGATTGAGTGGTTCACTGTCGTCCTCCCCGCTGTATGAGCACCGTGAGGGTAAGGACTTGATACCCATGCTTTCCTCCATCCCCAGAGCACAGCTCACAGGTGGAGCTGAATGAAGTATTTCTGTCTCGAGCAACTGGCTGACTGAGTGTAGGGTGGGAGCTAATAAGTGATAAAGAAAACAAGTGGACAAGATATCTTAATTACTAGTAAGTAATTAAGGGTCCACAAGTGGGCAAAACTGCAGTGAAGATAGTAAAACAGGGAGATAGGAAAGAGCGACTTGGTTTGCTTTTGTTTTGTGCTTTTTAGATGAGGGGGTATAGGAAGGCATCTCTAAGGAAGTAGTGTTGGGATTAAGATCAAAGTAATGAGAGTAATCCGGCCATGCAAAAAACTGCAGGGAGAGCTAAGGAAAGGGAATGGTGTGTGCAAAGGGCCTGTGGCAGAACTGAGCTGGCCCCTTTTGAGCTACAGAAAGGAGGACAGTGCAGCTGGCTAGTGTAAGGGAGAGGCCAGATCTGGTATGGTTGGCAGGCCAGGGCAGGAAGTGGGGATTGGCCTCAGCACAGAGGTGATTGCCACGGTGGGCTTTAGGCCGCCAAGAACACATGTATGTCTGTACATGCATGTACGTGTGTGTGTAAATGCATGTGTGTCAATGTGTCTGAAGTGCCTAGGTATACATGTATGTGTGTTTACCTTTGTGTGCTGACTTGTGTGTTCACACATGTCCCTGGGTGTTCGTGCAAGGGTGCTCACGCACATTCACTAGAGTCTCCCTGGTCAGTGCACGTTTTTGTCTGTTTTGAGTAGATCCTCAAACTGTGCCCGAAGAAGAAGAGCGCCTCCACGTACACCTTCTGCAAGTCGGTCGGCCTGCTGGGCATGCAGTTCCACCTCTTTGAGAACGAGTGTAAGTCCTGAGCAGTGAGCACCAGAGGGGCCGTGGGGAAGCGGAGGGGAGGCTGGGCGTGGGGCAGGCCGCTCAGAGACACTGTCCCCTCCCCGTGTCTGGCCGGCTTCAGCCCCCACTGCTACTCACAGCCCGTCTGGGCCTGGGGCTGGTTTCCAGATTACTCCCATGGCATCACACTGGTGACCCCACTGTCGGGCTCCGAGAAGAAGCAGGTGCTGCACTTCTGCGCCCTGGGCTCGGACGAGATGCAGAAGTTCGTGGAAGACCTGAAGGAGTCCATCGCTGAGGTGACAGAGCTGGAGCAGATCCGGATAGAGTGTAAGGGTGCCGAGGCCAGGCCCTCTGATGCGATGGGCGGGGGCAGCTTGCAAACAGGCAACTTTGACTCTGGGACCGTCATCCATTTCTCCCTTGCCATGCTTGGTACCTCCTCCCCTCCCCGACTGCCCCTCCCTGTGCCATGGTGCTATCATGGGTGACGTGGGTGTTTCTTCACCATCAGAACAGGTATACTAAAGCAGGCACCCATGTGTGCATATCCCATCAGGCACAAGGTATGTACGTGGGGCTCTTGTGCAAAGAACTCTGCCACACTGGACCAGTATCAGGCATGCTGTGAACCCAAGAAATCCGTGAGCTCATGGGCTTTTTTTCTTCTGTCTTAGTTACTTTTCTGTCATTGCTGAGACAAAATACCTGATGCCCAAAGCAAAGAGGGAAAGGTTTATTTAGCTCACGGTTTGTGGAGGTTTCAGTCCATCATCAGCTGGCTCCAAGACGGAGCGGCACATGGCGGAGGGGCAACAGTTCATGGCGGCAGAAAACAGCAAAAGCAACAAGAACAAAATGAAGGGAGAACGAGAGAAGACTCTTTCTGTCTCTTGTACTGTACATAGGGTATTGTGTGGACCCTAGGGTGGGTGTAGCACTCACACCCATAATCCCGGCATTGGACCGTGAATCAAACTCTAGCAGGCCATTCCCATGGCCACATGAGGCTTTGGGAGGACATCTAGCCACAAATCAGAGCATCCTCTAAGCTGTTTTTTATTTCGTAGCCTTTGCCCCCTCTGTAGCCAAGTGCATATAATGCACTTGGTTACTCTCATTTCTCTAAACTCTTTTAATCTAGAATAGTCCTCCACTTTCTTTCTTTATTATAACTGTCTGTTTGAAAAGTCCAGGCTGGTTTTCATCTTGGAGTCGCCTTTCTGTTCCCCTCAGGGACACCTGAGTTCTGGATGGCTCCAGCTCAGGCATTTCAGAATCTAAGCGGGTCTCCTCGTATATCCAGGTGGTTTCCAGTCACTTTGGGGTTTAAGAATTGAGCAGCGATGTCTTATGAAACTGCGCCCTTCTGTAGGCTTTTACTGGTTAAGCATTGCAGAGGCTTCCTACGGACTTGAAGGGAAAATTGTGTAAGGACGGGTTGAGAAACTCAATCAAAAAATACAAATAGACTCCAGGTCTGCCTTTTGTAGCCATTTCATTGAAAGGTGTCTCCAAATTAATATAAGTGATTGGGCAGTAGGAAAGGTAGTGGGGGATTTTGAGCAGGGCTCCGATATAACAGGGCAATGCTGTTTAGTTATCACTTTGGAGCACCTACAGGGGCGATGCAGTTTATCTATACCCTGCTAGTCCTCGAAGGGACCTTGGAGAAGTTGCATTGAATCCGTCTGACAACGTTACTGCCCTCGGGGCAGGGAAGCAGGGAGTCCAGACCACACATACCATACGGGGAGCCATTGCCACTCATATTTAATTCCAGCTCCACTTAAATGTTCTTGCTGGTTCTTTCCACTCTGGGCCTGAGGTTTTCTTTACACTTTCCTAAGAAAACTGTCGAAATCAAGGTAAAACAAAAGCTTACGAGATACGACTCAGGTGACAGCGTAGCAGGGAGAACTTCAGGGTTGGCTCACTCAGGGCAGTAACGCTGCACACAGACACAAGGGCCGGACCAGATACCCGGAGAGGCGCCTTCGCTGTTGTTCTGGAACATTTTCAAGGCTTCACTTCTCTTGTTGTCAGAGTGTCACAGGTGGCTCCACCCTGGGAAGCCACCGCACATCTCCTGACCCCAGCACTGGTGCAGGAGACATCTTCTCCCCGCGGCCCTGGGACACACCCTAAATCCCTTCCCAGAGTAAGAGAGGAGCAGATATTGCCAGAATCTGCTGTGTCAAGAGTGGAACCTTCTTTCCTGCTGGCCAGAGGGGAAAGGAACAGGGTACTTAGCTGCTTCCTGTTGCTGAGGCAAAATACCTGACACCCACATGTTACAGGTGGAAAAGTTTATTCTGGCTCACAGTTTGTAGAGGTTTCAGTCCATAAGTCAGCTGGCTCCAAGGCAGGGCGGCATGGCAGCGGGGCACGGCAGAGGAGAAAGAGCTCACAGCATGGCGGGCTGGAAGCAACAACGAGTCAAGAGGAAGTGATATACACCCTTCTGGGCCATGCCCAGAGTGACTGCCGCTTCCCACCAGGCTTCCCATCGACAATATACTCAGCTATAAATCCCAGGGGACTAATCCAGTCACCTCCCTCTTTTTTTTTTTTTTTTTTTTTTTTTTTTTGTGGTGCTGGGGATCGAACCCAGGTCCTTGTGCATGCAAGGCAAGAGCTCTACCGTTGGACCACATCCTCAGCCCTAGTCGCCTCCCAAAAGCCCGACCTATGGTCACATGAGGCTTTGGGAGGGGGGCACTAGTTATAAACTGTAACACAAAGGCAAAGGCTAAAAGTTGGCTCTCAGTCTTCAAATAGAGGGAAAGGGAAGGAACAGCTGGGGAGAGATGAAGGACCGGCCAAGAAGCAGGCAGGAGAGGGAGTCACAAAGTAAAGGAGAAAACAAAGCCAATAGCAGTGACTGTATATTGAGCACTTACTACATGCCAGGCACTGGGCTGATGACTAAATCCATCATTTAATCCTCACAACCTCCCATGAGTTCACATTATTCTATCTTACAAAGAAACTGAGGTGTTGTGAGTTCTCACAGTGACAGCAAGGGCTGCACCTTGATCCTCCTTGACTCCTTTTGTGTAATTATGATGCAAATTTATCCAAAGCCAAGAGGGCCCATTGGGAGCAGCTGGCATTCACATTTAAGTCTGACTCCATCGTCCGTGTTCTTTCTACTCTGAGCCTTGGTCCCATCAAAGTAGGTAGTATTGATGAATAGCGTGAGGCCTGCTATCAGGGCAAATGGTTCTGGTGTGGGGGCTTGTGGAGAAGTGTTCTTAGATTCTAGACAAGCAGAGAGACAGCAAATGCAACCCAGGAGAGTGGCTTTCATGAAATGAACTTGAGTGATGTCTCCAGGAACACAGAAGCGAGAGGAGTAACCTAATAACGACTGTCAGAGAGCCGGCACTATCAGATCTCTAAGGACCAGCAGTTAGGAGAAGAAGAAGGAGCACATTTCTAATCCAGGGAGACGTAGTAAACTGCAGGACCAAGATGGATGTCCTGACCATGTGGCCATGTGACCTGGACAGACCCAGGGCAGGGGGAATCTCTCAGCAACTATGGCCACTCGGTCTTGTAGGAGGAACATGGGGGACTAGATGTGGCCAACTGTGATGAGACCTGCAAGCCAAGCACTCGTTTTCTTTTGTGGTACTGGAGATGGACCCAGCGGCCTCATGCATGCCGGGCAAGTGCTCCACCACTGGGCTACACCCCAGCCACCAAGTGCCCTTACATGTTATCATCTCAGCCCTTGCTGTGAGCCAGGCCTTGTTCTATGTGCTTCCTGTGCGTTTCCTCCGCTGTTCTTCTTAACGACCACTGTGTGGTGGGGAGGGCGTCTCCTCCAGTGAAGCACGGAGAGGTTAGGTAACCTGCCTAGGTAACACAGCTAGGAAACATCAGGGCCAGGATTTCCCTGGGTAGTTGGCCTCCCTCATGCTAGCCCCCTTTCCCTTGTCTTGGACATTCAAGCAGGTCCCGTCATCTCCATATACAGATGAAGATACTGCAGCTCCCAGTGGGCTATGAGGTGCCAACCCAGATCTTCAGGTCCCTGTCTCGCAGCACGCAGTAGGGCTTCTCCATCCTTCTCTTCCTTGTCCCGCCCTCTTCATTTCCTTGTTCACATGCACGGTGAAGGTCAAGGTTCTGTGTGCTCATAGCCTCCCCCTTCCGCAGGGGAGCTGGAGAAGCAGCAGGGAACAAAGACGCTCTCCTTCAAGCCCGGGGGAGCCCAGGTGGAACCACAGTCCAAGCAAGGATCACCCACAGGTGAGTATCAGCTCTGACATGGGCCCCAGCCCACAAAAGGCCCCTTGCGGTCCTGAGCCTGGCTCCTGAGGGACTTGGGTGGGAGGTGAGCCCATTTTTCTAGTCATTTCTTCCCACTTTCCAGCTCTTAGCTGTCTTTACTCCCAGGGGCTTTGGGAATGAGAAGAAAAGTACAGGAGAAATGTGTCCATTTGCACACGGCACAGGCGTTCAGGAGTCCATGTGATGTGGCACCATTCACCCTGGAGGAATCAGGCCAAGAGTCCTGTCATCCTTTCCCAAGATAGGAGGAGCAGGTTGGGAAAGAAGGGCGGCCAGGAGGGCCTGGGGGTCTCTTGTGCCCCATACAGGGCCCAGTTCTTTGCGTAACAGGCCCCATGCACTGTCCAATACAAGTCCACATTGGATGCCCTGAAATCAAGACAAGCCTCCCAGTCAATTTCTCAAATGGTTTATTCAGTTTGAATTGTTCGTTCCAGCTGAGTCAAGAAGCTGCAGGCTTGATGTCCCCTTGGCCACTCTCTCGACTTGCTCCCTCGGCCCTCTGTCACCTTCTTCTTTCTGTCTGCTGCCCCAACCTTGCCTGCACCTGTAGATGGCACAGAAAATGACGCCACCACCTCCCTTCCACCAGCCCCAAATAAAAAGCGGTTAGGAGCGGTAGCGTGAGAATTAAACCCCATCCCAACACAATCCCAGTGAACCACCCAGAGCTGTTTGCTCATTAACTCAGTCATTTCGCTTCCCATTCAGCAAACTGCTGCCCTGTGCTGAGTGCCGCAGGTCCCAGCAAGACGCCAGCGTGAGCTCAGGGACCCCCGAGGCCTTCCTGTGGTCCCGAACCCTCCACGCTGGCCCTGATGCCGGACGGCACAGGCAGGAGCCCAGGAACTCGTCCCGCCTGCTGGGACATGTGATTCACTTCCTAAGCACTCCACGGGGGCTCTTTTGCTCCATGGAGATTCTCGCTGTGATGTCACCCTTGTAGATGGGTTCCACCCGTCACCCGCATCCGTACCTCACCACGCAGCCTGACTTCAGGCTGTAGGGTCACAGAGCGGCGATCACAGCTTGCTTTCACAGCTGCCTAAGCCCAGAGCCAATCTTTTGCTGTGGTTTATTCCCGCATCGCATACCCGCAGCCCTGCTGGCCTCTCTTTGGAAAATGCAAGCCCTGGTCACACCAGGATGGTGTCCCCAGGGCTCTGCCCATGAGTTCATAGTGAAGTGTTTCCCAAAAGATGCCACAGTCCCCTCTTGTGCTTTGGAAGTAAGGGGCCTGAGCAAAGCAAAGGAAAGTGCCCCCCCCGTGGGGAAGCCGAGAAATCAGAGGGTCAGTGGAGGCCAGGCGATGACTTAGAAGGAGCCATCAAGCTGTCCTTGGGGCCCTGTGCGGCCCTGCCGCCCTGCAGGATGGGCAGAGCGCCTCAGCAGTAACCACAGGCCACCCAGGCTCTGCCGTGTACCAGGCACTGTGGCGAGTGCTGTGCCAGGCTCAAGTCATGAGGTCAAAGGAGGAGGGGTCAAGTGTGGCCCCTCCCTCAAGGAACCTGGAGCTGATCAACATGGTGCCCACAGGCCAGCGCCCGCCTCTCCCAGCCCATCCTGGGAAGGTGCTGTGGACATTAGACTAAAGAACGCCAACATCAGAAAGCATGTCAGAGATCTGCTAGTCTCTGGAGGCCCAAAGAGGTGTAGCACCTTACCCGCTATCACGCAGCTAGGTGGCAGCACTGGGCTCCCAACCTCTGATCCGGGTCCGCTGATGGGGCTGCGCCTCAGTGAGGCGTGTGCAGCACCCGCAGTCTGGCTGCCCGTGCCAGCTCAGCTGCAGAGGTGCGAGGGGAGGGGGACGGAGGGCGCAGGGCCCCGTCAGGACTGGTAGAGAATGAGTGCTGTGCTGTTTACATTCAAAGCCAAGAGGGACGCTGCGCTGGGGGAGAAGCCCACGGAGAGCCCGGGGGAGGTAAGTAGAGGCCTGGTGCGTCCAGGTGAGTGTCCTCGTGCCCCTTGTCCCTCTTCTCACCTTCTCTGTTGTTTCTCTTCTCAGGTATTAATCAATGCCTCCCCAGCCCGACTCACCATTTTACCAATTTCAAGAGATACAATTAAAAGTTACTGCTAGCATGAGTAACGCCACTCTTCCAGCGCCTAGTTAATCCGCCAGCACATTCCGCCCACTCCCAGCCCACCCCGTGGAGAGGGAGCCCCCCCACCTCACAGTCCTCCTTCCTGTACTCCCCCACACCCACTGCCCAGCCACCCTCTGCTGAATACACGCGCTGTCGGAGAATCCAGTTCCCCTTCCCCGGTGTGCCCGTCCCCCGTGTGAGGGACCCTGGGCTCCCCCGGAGAGTCACACTTGTCAGGTCCCCAGGCAGTCAGGTCTGGGCCTGATGTACCCTTTGGACGCTTCCGTGAGGAAGATGGACAGCTGAGTGGAGGGGCAAAGAAAAGGCTTCTCTCTGAAATAGCTGGTGCCCTGAAGAGTCGGCCATAGTAGGGGGATGCACACAGGGGGCGTGGGGCTGAGCGGGGCTGGGATTGTCTTGGAAGGAAAAGACACCCCGGGAAGGACATGGGTGGGGGGGTTCCCTGCCGATCCCAAGGTGCCTCCCTTGTTGGGGAGCATGCAGCTGTCCCAGCAAGCCTAGCTGGGCTACAGCCCCCACACTGGGCCCCCTTGCACCCCAGTGAGCTCCGGCCCCACACCTTTGCCACCAGGACGCTAGTTGCTCAGGCAGACGGTCCTTTCCCAGCCCCACTTCCAGCTGGAGGCCCCCTAGATGTGATGAGGAAGGAGCCCCCCTCACCAGGCTGCTGAGCCCTGGCACCTGCAGGACGCCCTAGGAGCTCAGCTTCCTCCCCACCCCACGGCCCCCACCCCCACACACGAGTGTCCGGAGCAGGCACCCCTACTCGGAGGAGCTTCCGCCCGGCAGCTGGCCAGCCCCCGGGTGGGTATTCCATCCCCACCCTCCTCTCCCATCTCCCCACGGCTGCCCATCTCGGCCTTGCAGACAGACCTGCCAGGTCGCCAGCCCTGCCCCCGCCCTGGCCACAGCTGCGCAGCAGGGACAGGGGGTCCGGCAATCTGAGCCGTCTTCCCTCTGCTTGTCCCGAGGGGCCTTGTGGCTATCTGCAAGGCTCCCTCCCCTCAGCTAGCTCCAGGGCCCTGCCAGCCCCCGCTCCCCTGCACAGAGGACAGCCTTGCCGCCCCGTGGCCTCTCCGCTGGACCCCAAGCTCTCCTCCTCTGCCCTCTCCTTCCTCATTGCCTGGCCGACCCCTCTGGCAGGCGCTTGTCCATCTGACCTGCTACTCATGTGTCACCCTCTGTCTCTTTTCTCTCTCTCTCTCCCTCTTTCCTGAGCAGGGAGTGGGAAGGGAGTTAGAATGTGAGGACATTTTGCTGTCACATCCTGCTTTTCCCTTACTGACCATTTAAGATAAAGGACCCAGGCTGGGGTGGGGGCTGGGGGCACCCGCAGTGGAGGCGGAGCCAGCACACGGGAGTAGGAGAGGAAGCTCGGCCTGGGGCCCAGGGCGGAGGATCCCGTGGAAGCATCAGCCAGGGAGAAATCAGCCCACTGGTCTGGACTGGGTGGCCACAAAGGTGGGACAGGGAGGCACAAGGGCTCTCGGCCTGGTCTGGTGGCCTTGGGCCACTTTTCTCTCCCGGAGCAGCTCAGAATACACGCATACCCTTTGGCAGTGGGGGTGACAGAGGCCTTCTTCAGAATAAGGATCACAGGGCTGGGGATCTAGCTCAGTGGCACAGTGCTCGCCTGGCAAGCACAAGGTCCTGAGTTCAATTCCTGGTACCAAAAAAAAAAAAAAAAGAAAGCAATCAGAATAAGAATCACAGAGGGCCCCCCCGCCAAGAAGAAGGGGCCGCTGCCATACCCACTGTCTGCTGTGTGTCTTGGCAGGACAGCAAAGGTCTCGGAAGAATCTTCATTCATTTAGGCGATCTTGGGGCTGGAAAAATGCTGCTGAGTCAGAGGATGGAGAATAAAGCCTGCAACATGCAGACTACAGTGCTGGAGTTTACGAGTACCGAGGGGCAAAGGGAGAGCTGGGGACCTTGCAAGGGAGGTGGAAGTGGCAGGTAGCAGTGCTCAGATCCAGGAGCACCCTCAGCCAACAAGCAGGCCCCTGAAGCGCTGGTTGAAGGCCTCCACATGGTATGGGGCTGGACCTGGGATAAGGTCTTGTCTTAGCTACTTTTCTCTCATTGCTGAGACAAAATACCTGATGCCCAGAATTAAGGAAGGAAAGGTTTATTGACCTCACAGTTTGTGGAGGTTTCAGTCTATAATCAGCTGGCTCCAAGGCAGAGTGGCATATGGTGGAGGGCAACAGTTCATGGTGGTGGAAAACAGCAAGAACAGCAAGGGCAAAAAAGGAGGAGAGGCAGAGAGCAAGCCTCTTTCCCTCCCTTACGCTGCATGCAAACTACCCGCCCAGGACGGGTGTAGCGCTCACACCCATAATCCCAGCATTGGACCATGGATCAACCATAAACTCTAGAAGCTGCCCTGTGACTGCATGAGGCTTTGGGGGGGGACATCCAGACCCAAACCATAAGAGGTCTCTTCTGCTGCAGTTTCATGTCCCCTCTGTACTCTGAGAAGCAGGCCATAGGTGGTGGAGCCCAGGCCAGACAGCAACCCAACAAGATGCTTCCTCAGAGCAGAAGGGCCTTAACCTCCCCACAGGGCCCAGGTGTTCAGAGTGGTTTGTAGTGTCATAGCTATTAGTTGGGATACTCGGGGGTAGAGGCAGGGTGAGGAATTACATCCTGGTCTTTCTAGAATGCTCTAATCTCCCCATGCTCAATTCCTCCACCTCCCATTTCTAGCAAGAGGAGGCCGGGCGAGTTCACACTGACCCTTGTGGTCTGCAGGAGGGGGTCCCGTGGGCCTCTGGGGCACCTCCTCCCCTGTCCCAGGGATAAAGATCAGGATCTCTCTAACTCTGCCCTCCTGTTGTCGGGCAATCTTAATCAGAACCCAGCTTGGGCTGAAAGGAAGGTGGGCACCCAACTCTGCCCTCAGATGTCCGGGCTGGCTTGAATGCAGGGCCATGGCCACATGGTGTCTGGGAGGACAGAGCAGGTCCAAAACACCCCTTCAGTGGTCTCTGGCATTCTGGGGTTCAGGCACCTTTTCTGATATCAATTATGACAAGGTTGTCTCTTTAAAGAAGCAGGAGGGAGAAGGGGGCCGGGAAGGATCAGAAATGCTTGGCTCTGTCGCTGATGAGGCGACTGAGGCCTGTCGGACACAGTTCACCCACCGTTAAGCTCTGGGCTGTGCTCTCCCTGGTCGTAGCCAGCTTTCCTGCGGGTGAAGAGTTGGGCAGAGGCTCGGAGAAAAGGCTGAGAGGACCTGACGGGTGGCAGAGATGGGCACGAGGGAGGGAGACAGAGGGAGGCTCGGGCAGCCTGTCCCAGCCCTGGGATCTAGTCTCGTAACATGTCATGCTTCTTTGGCTGTTTCTAAACTAGGTGTCAATTCACAACAGGCTTCAAACGTCCCAGCACAACTCCAGGCTGGGGGCCGAGAGGGGAGCGCCAGCGCCAGCGCCACTGCCAGACCCGCAGCCTAGCCCTTTGAGAGAGCAGCCCCCGCCGCTGCCACCGCTGCCACCCACGCCCCCAGGCACCCTGGTGCAGTGCCAGCAAATTGTCAAGGTCATTGTCCTGGACAAGCCCTGCCTGGCACGCATGGAGCCCCTGCTGAGCCAGGCTCTCTCCTGCTACACCTCGTCCTCCTCTGAGTCCTGCGGCTCCACACCTCTGGGCGGCCCAGGGTCCCCAGTCAAGGTCATCCACCAGCCTCCGCTGCCTCCACCCCCTCCCCCTTACAATCACCCGCACCAGTTCTGCCCACCCAGCTCCCTGCTGCACCGGAGGCGCTACTCCAGCGGCTCCAGGAGCCTGGTGTAGCTCTGCCCCCAGCAGCCTGTTGCCCCAGGAAGGCCGGCCACCAGAGGGGGCCTCAGCTGCCCCTTAGCTGCTCCCCGCATCCTGACATTCCTGGTCACCAATCACTGTTTGGAAGGAGAACCCTGATCCCTGGCACGTGGATTTGCTTGGTCCAGCCATCCTGCCCTTACTCAGCTGAGCACCCCCCAAACCTGGAGACACCACCTCCTTCTCCTGGGGCCCCAAACAGCCAGATGAGGTGACATCTGCGGCCACCACTCTCCCCCGTTGGGCCATAGAGGAAACGCACAGCTGGGGGGCCGACCACCTTGCAGGCTTAAAGTCTGTTCATGGCCAAGCCTCGGCCCATGGGCAGGAGCAGGAGGCTGGGGTGGCTGGCAGGGTCAACAAGCCCTGGATGGAGGGGGGCTGGCCCACAGCAGGTGCCCCTGAGTGGAAGAGGGTAGCCCCAGCTCCCTGGGGGACCAGCCTGCAGCAGGCCAAAGGAGGAGCTGATTCTGCTCCCCTGTCCTCCAGCCCACAAGTCTCGGGAGGCTGCGGCTGGGTCCCCAGAGACATTGGCTCTCCTGGCCCCCTCCTCCCGGGGCCTTCTCACCAGCTGCCCTGGATCCAGGAACGCTTTGAGAAGGGGAGGAGGGAAGACGAGCGCTTGGCTCTCTCTAGGTCAGTTCAGCAGGGCCATGAGCTTACGAGGTCGTCTATCTGCAAAATGCACTTTGTAAAATCATTTAGTAGTTCCCCAGCCCCCAGTAATACCCAGCCAAAGCCAAGTGCACACAGCACTGGCCTGTAAAATGCACCAGAACCAGGTTAAGCGCTTCCACTGTTTCCACAGAAACAGGGGGATCCACCAGTGGGGGTTCTGGGAGAGGTTCTCCTGGACTCAGAGTCAGGGCTGCCTCTTGCGTGACTCAGTGGCTCCAGGAAGAACCCGGATGAGAAACAGGCAGGAGCAGGTAGGCCCCTGAGGACTCAAGTCTCCCCGCCGTCCCGGCCTTTAGCAGTTCTGGAGGCACAGAGCCCTTCCAGTGTGACTGGCGGAGTCCCTTGATGTCCCAAAGGAGAGCCAAGCAGGGCTGCTGGCCTCCCAGGGTGAACCGGAGCAGAGAGCCAGCCTTGGGGGCCTGCAAAGCCCCAGCCCGAGGCGAGACAGCCCATCCTCCAAGCCAGGGATCGGTGCCCTGGCCATCCCATGGTGGAGGCTTCAGGAAGTACATGCTGCAAGCCCAGCCGCACTGTGGTCCCGTGCCTGCAGCTACAGCGGTACTGCACCACAGTCCTCCCTCTCAGAGCCCACTTATAAAGCCTCCAGGGAGGCGCCATAGATACTGGCTAAGTCCAGAGTGAATCGGCTTCTCCAGCCCCAGCACACACCCTGTGCTGCAGCATCCTGGGCCAGGGACGAGGCGAGGATAATCCCCACCCTCAGAGGGGCCGGCTGACCTAGTTTCCCATGTACGTGTGTGAACGCCCAGACGTCATCATGAGGTCACTCAGTGAGTTTATTTCTGGCTCCATCTTGACAGCCTGGTTTCCATAACTTGGAGCCAATTTGCTGTGTCCCTCGTGACTCCCGGTCTGTTTGTTCCCCTCACCCTGGCTGCCTTGGCCCCTCCAGGGCCATTCTGAACAGCACTGCTCGGGCCAGAGCCTGGAGGAGAGAGACAGCTGACAGATGGATCCACAGTCCGGACGCCTTGCTGCCCTGAGCCAGGGTGGGAGATGTTAGGGTCTCGAGGGGTGACGGAGCTGCAGGGATGGGAGTGGAGGCTGAAAACTGAGCACAAACCACAAACAGGAAGCAGGGTGTGAGTAGGAAAGAATAGGAGTGATGAGGGTAGCTAACTGTACTCATGGGGTGGGAGCCATTGGTGCCGGGGCTGCCGAAGAAGGGCACGGCCCTCGGCAGCTTTGTGCCCACGTCAGCGCCTTGTCCCTGCCCACAGTGTGAGCAAAGGGCCCCCTCCCAGTGGGCTGGCACAGCAACGCCGGCCCCTGCCTCCCGCTCGCTCAGCCAAAGCCCAGCTTCCCCGGCGGCAGCAACCACGGTCTCAGGGCTGACCTGTGCACATCCGCTGGGCCCCGGATGTTCAGGCCCCCAGCCCCTTCCTCAGGCCAGAGGCTCATCCTGCATTGCTGCAAGGCCCTGGGCCCCACAAGCAATCCCCCATGGGAATCCTGCACAGAAAGAGACCGGCCTGGGGTGGGCAGCGCTGACCCAGGAAGGGTCAGGACGGGAAACAGCTGGCCCTCTTCCCTGATGGGCAGGCTGGACTTCCCAGCTTCCGAAGCCTTCCTCCTTGAGCAGTCAGCAGGATAGGCGGGGGCCCTTCTCTGTCTCCTCCCCAGAGACTAGGGACATCCTCTGCCCTCCCCACGGGAGCAGCTATGTCAGGGCCTCTCAGAGGGCCCCGAAGAGATGCTCAGGGGCTCCTCTGCTCCCCCAAGACTGAGGGCGGTGCAGTGCTGACTGAGTCCCAATCACCCTGAGACAACCCCACTTCATCAGCCCTCTAGGCCTTACTTTGGGGGACCTGGGCTCCGCTCCCATTTTATCCATTTGGCCCAAGTCCAGATTCAAGAGTGGGCGATAAAACTAGCTTCCTCACCCCTTCAGGGCAAGTCCCACTGCCAGACCTGAAGCAGGCCTGTCCAACACTTGTCCTGGAAGCCTGCCTCTCTGTCCGTCTGTCTCAAAGGTACCTGGGCCTCTGACTCCTCCCTCCCCGACACCTGTGCCCCAGAGCCTGCCAGGATATCTCTTGCAGCCGATAGGCTTCCCTGGTGACCATCCGTCTGTCTGTCCCTGAGTTCGGGGCGCCTCTCTTCTCACTGCACCCCTCCTCGCGCACACCCTTCACCCTGCCGGAGAGATGCCTCTCTAGGGAAAGGCAGGGTGGCTGCACCCAGCAGTTAATCCAAATGGCAAATATTTTGTAACAAAATAGCCCAGAGGTATTTTATCTGTTCAATTCATAGAGTTTTAGAGATTATATTGAAATATGTCACTTGAGGAAATGGTGTCAGTCGCTTATTTATTCTTGCACAGAGCGTCCATCCCACGAGGGTCCGGCAGGAGGAGCCCTGGTGAAGTCAGAGACACTGGGCCGCTCCCCGCTGCCCCGGCGGCCTTCCTTTCGCTCCAGGACAGTGTTCTTATGATGTGATGTGCTTAGGAATCTTGGTGCGGGGAAGGTGAGGACCAGCCGTCTGACACAGGGCTCCAGGGCAGGGCTGGGCGCAGAGGTGAGAAATCCCCCGCCCCCACCAATATACACACAGAGCGGGAAAGTGCGCTGCAGTGGAGCGTGAGGGCAGCCGTGCAGACAGGAAGCGTCACAGCAGCCAGCACGCACCCAGGTAGTCAGCGCGGGGCAGGAGCTAGGAGCCCCCACCAGCTTGGCTTCCTGGAATGGAGAGCAAGCATCCTTTGGGGAGTTCAGGGGGCCTATCCCACCAGCCAGATTTGATCCTTGGCCTTGGGTGATTCCCCTAAACACACACACACACACATACACACACACACACCAAGTCCCAGACTGAAACCTGAGGACAGGGTCTGGTCTGAGAAGCCCTTGATGTGGCTGGGGTAGAACACTGGGACACTGTGGGGTAAAAGTGGTTGGAGCTGCAGACTGCACCTTCCGAATCCTCCCACCGCCACGCTGGGGTTCCTGCTGGGAGCTGAAGAAGGATCAGGCTTCTGGGAAGGGGAGAAGACAACGGCCCAGGGGCGGGAAGGTTGAGTGTGGGAGGCTGAAATGAGGCTGGTGAAAATGCAAGGGCTCTGGGGACATTCACAGACACCCGCAGTCTCAGCTCAGCTCTGGGGCAGCAGGCTGGAGACAGGGTGCTTCCCCCAGGCGGGGACGGAGGAGCAGGGCTTCCAGCCACACAGAGGCATCAAAGGACCGAGAACGAGCAATAGCCAAGATGGCACTTGCAAAAAGGGTGCCCAGCTCTTGTGGTGACCAGAACTCTGGACTCACAGAAATCTAGATATCTCCAGCGCCCTCCATAGGCTGGATCTTACTGTCCTGTTAAAGTGAGAGGGAACATGAGCTCACTCTCCTTCCAGGAAATGGGAAATTCCAGAAGAAGCAGAGACCAGCTAGGACTGGTCCCACCCTGGGAATTCTCTGACCGAAGAAGCCGAGGTCCGGCCCCTGAGGGGACTGGGTCAGTTTAGCATTGGGAGAAGGCCTGGGGCTGTAAGCACCCCTTGGTATATGTGCCAGGATGCCAGTGAGTGGATGCACTGTTCTCCCACTTCCTGGCCCTGACTTCCTGAAGTCACCCAGAAGACATGCCCACCCTTTAGTGGGAAAGGGAAATCACTGCATTCTGTTGGAGCCTCTGGTTGGAGTGGGGGTCCTCTGAGTCCATTGGCAGTGAGGACAGAGGCGCTAGTCAGTCCCTCGGTAACCCTTTGCAGACGGGAAACATCCATCCATCAAGCACTTACTTAGAGCGCTACCAGGAAGGGGCCCTTATATTTACCAGTTTCTGGCTGAGAGCAGTGGCCAAGAATAAGCAGCCAGTGCCTGACAGAAATCAGGGTGAATTCAACAAGCTTCTACACACTCGTTGGGCAAAAGGGACCTTCCAGGTGCAGGGGATACACAGTGACCAGGACGAGCCAAGCTCCTGCCTGAAGGTTCACATGAGGAACCACCCAAAAGAAACAAGCGGTGAGCCGTGTTCACATCGAGGATGGTGACGTGGTCAGGGTGACGCGGAGGTCCCATGTTGGAGTGCACGTCCCTGAAAGTCCTCTCCGGGAGGAAAATTCAGCCAGGTCAGGTCTGAAGGCATACAGCAGTTGCAAGGGTGAAATGTTTTTGAGGCAGAAATCGAGACAATCTGCCAATAGACCATTACCTGATACACGAATTTACTTACATGAAAAAAAAAAGATCTTCCTACAGTGTCAAAATGGATTTAAGAAAGCGCACACTGAGGAAATCATAAAATTGGCTTTCTTCTAGAATGTCCAGGTCAGAAGCACAGGTCAGGAAGAAAAGTGCTCTGGGGAGGGCAGTCGGGTAGCTCCAGGAGGGCAGGGTGGAGGCGGCTGCGCAGGAGGTCCAAGGCCGCCACCCCGGGCCCCAGGAAACACAGAACAGCAGTGGTGAAGCCCAGCTGCCTGGATGCTGGGTAGCCGCTGTCCAGTACGGCGTGCATATATGGCGTTCCGACACTTGACACAGGAAGAACCCAGTTTGGGGCTTGGTCAGCCAGCAGCAGCCCACTGTCTGCTTCCTCCCAGGTCACTCCAAACCACGCAGACTCAGGCTTTAAGTAGTAATGCAATGGAGCCCAGGGTCTATTGCCCACTTGGTCCTGGGGTTGACACTTTTCATACTTAGCATGTACCCCATGATCTGCAGTAAGACTGATCTTTCCCAGCAGGGCTGCACAGTGCGGCTGTGGGCCTGGGCACCCTCCCCTCCTCTCCCAGCCCTGATGGATGTGTTTAATTTACCACTGCCTCCCGGGAGCCACCATCAATCAGCAGGCTGTTGACACCAGGATGAAATTAACTTTCCAGGCTGCCCTGTGGCATCCTCAGAGTCCCCGTGAAGGGAGGCATGTCGGGCAGGTGGTTTTGCAGCAGGAGGCACCAAGCCAAAGGTGTGGATCAGTAGAGCTGCTAGGCCAATAGCTCTGCTTTTGCTCCATCGCTACACCGCTCCGATGCCGAGAGCTGCTCTGTTTAGGATTCTACATGACTCTAGCAACCCATCCTGCGGCCAGCTGGGCTGGCTTGGGAGCAAGAGCCATTCCACCTTCACCTCAGGCAGGCAGACCCTTTAGAGGAGGGGGTGTCCCATCCAGGAGAAGGTACGGTCCACCAGAGGCCAGTGGCCAAGAGCCACGGAAGGCAGCCAGGCCTAGGCACAGACCCCTAGCCCCAGCTTAGATTCAGGAAGACCAAAGGAGGGAACAGGAACGGGCTGGGGTCAGGTCCAAATCTGGTCCCAGCAGGAAAATTCCATCCCGGGTGAGCCTCATGATGCAGGAACTGGAGTTCAGGAGATGGGGAGGAGGCTGGGAATCCCCCTCACTCCTCCTCTTCCTCCCTCCCGCTCCTCCGCAGGTCTGGGCAGTTTGCTCCCCTGAGAACCAGGCAGCCTAATGCCACTAGCCAGCCCCCAGCACCTCTGTGCTTCCTGCTCCCATGACCCGAAGACTGAATGACCTCATGCCTGGCTCTGGGAAACCGTGGGAAGCAGCTGCAGGGAAGGCAAGAGAGCACCCAGGAGACCTGGCCTTTGTGAGCGTGTTTCCAACCCCTCAGGCCTCCCTTGCCCTCCCTTCCCCAAGTGCCCCAATCCTCCAGCCCCCTTCCAGGACCACTACGGTCCACTCTGAGGAAGTGGCAGGGAAGGGTGAAGGAGCCTCTCCCGCTTTAGAGGAAGTCTTAGAATCCCCAGCCAGACCTACAAGTGGGTGTGCAGGTTAGTTAGTCCAGGTAACTAGGTTACGTATCCTTTTACAGATAAACTTAAGAAATTAGAAACAACAACAGATTAGCTCAGACTCAGAAGGAGGAACACAATAAACGCAAAGGTAGAAATTAACATCTACATACACACTCAAAAAAAAAAAATGCTCCCCACACCAGGCCAAATGATTTGACTATATTCTACTACCCATTCATAGAATAGACAATTCTAATCTCATGTTAACTCTTTCAGAAAAGACATTCCCACGCTCCTTTTTATGAGCCTTTTATAACCTTAAAAACAAAAGCTAATATAGACAAGGACAGTATGGGAAAGAAAGACAAGCAGACAATCTTGCTTATGATCCTAAATACAAAATTTCTACCCAAAATAATAACACAGCATGACGCTGAATGACAAAAACACAACACAACACACCGTGGCCAAGTTGGGTTTGTCCCGGAAATGAAAAGATAGTTTAATATGAAAAAACCTGCATAAAATTCATTGCATTAACAAATTAAAAAGCAAAAACATATGATCAACTCAATAGATGCCAAAAAGCAATCAATTAAATTCAATACTTATTCTTGATTTTTTTTTTTTTTTTAAAAAAGCAAATTTGGAACAGAAGAAAACTTCACAGCCTAATAAACAGTAGTCTATCAACACGCCACATCCACTGTCACACTCAATAGTGAAATGTTAGACTTGCTGTCAAAACTAGGAAGAGGCATGCTGCCACCACCGCTAGTTCCCTGGTAAAGGAAGACAAGGGAGAGAAAGAAGGAATAGCGATTGGAACCGGGCCTGGTGGTGCACACCTGTAGCTCCAGGCTCTTCGGAAGTCTGTGGCAGCAGGATTCCAAGTTGGAAGCCAGCCTGGGCAATTTAGCAAGGTCCTGTCTCCAGCTAAAATCTTAAAAAAAGCCTGAAGGTAAAACTCAGAAGTGAAGTACCTTCTGAGCACACCTGAAGCCCCGGATTCCATTCCTAGCACTACAGAAATAGGAAATGGAGTGACTGGAAAAAGACAACTGCCATTATTTCCAGACAGTCTGAATGCCCGTGAAAAAAGCCTAAAAGAATCAAGGCCAAAAAAGCCCCAAACATTAGCTTCAACACAGAGAGAGAGGCCGTGGACAGACAGGGAGAGCAGGTCCCCTGACAGTGGCTGCCCCACCAGCACACGCTGGTGTTCCTGTCCTTGCCTTGGGACCCTTCTTTCCACGGCAGACCCAGACGTCACCTGCTCTCCTTGAGGAATAACTCAGACCAGGCACGGCACAGCCGCCTCTGGTCACTCCTGGGCAGCACCTTGTGGGGAAGGTTGCCCGCTTCAGCAAGGGCACTGCTGGGATGGGAGGCGGGCTCCAGCATAGGCACCAAGCCCTTTGTTCCACTGCAGCTGCCTCAGCATTCTGGGAAGGTGGGTGTGGACGAAGAAAACCTCAGCACAAGGGTGCATCAGACTTTGGGCAGGATTCGTGTCACAGGGGTGGGGTTGGGCCCTGACCTCAGGGGTACCCAGGCCATCAAGGGTTCAGGCTGGCAAGGAGCAAGCTCTGCAGTCTCCATAACAGTTCTATACCCATCTCCCTAACCACCACATGCCCCCGCAGACCAGATAAGCAACCTGACCTGCTGGTCGTCAGACTGGAGGCAGAGAAAGCTGCAAGGCAGGGCCTGCCGTCTGGGCCACGGAGCCCCTCGGTCCCCCGCTGCCGGCCAGGCTTTCTCCTGTCAGCCTCTCTCTCCTCCCCAGCACACGCGTCCTCCCCCGGCCTCTGTGTATCGATGGGTGGTTAACAAGCTTTTCATCCCTGTCACATCCAATCAGCCCGTGTTACTTCACTGAGCAGCCAGCCCTGCAGGGAGGCCGCGTGGCTCAGCCATCAGGGAGCCAGGCACGTGAAGGGAAGGGGCAGCAGGGACAGAGCCGGCCAGTCCTCACCTGGTGCAAAACGGGCAGAAGAGAGCACGCAAGGGCCACGAGGACCCTGGGGGGTCAGGGGGCAGGTAGATGAGGAGAAAGGCCAAGGGTAGGATGGGAAGAGACCAGGGAATCGTCCCTCTCTGAGGAGGGACACCCTGACCCTCAAGGAGGCACTTCCTGTACCCTCCAAGCCAGGGCCAGTGTTAGTCATCTATTGCTGTAACAAATCACTCCAAAAACAGGTAGCTAAAAACCACATGCATGTTTTTTACCCTCCACCATGAGCCAGAGTTCAGGCCCACTGCACAGAGCACGGTGGTGCAAGGCCTCCCACCGAGCTGCAGGCCAGGCGTCAGCCCAGCCCCCGGTGATCTGAAGCGGGCCTGGGGCGGGGAAGCCTGCATCCTAGCGGCTCCCGCAAGTTGGTGATGCTGGATGCAGGTCTTTGTCTCTCCATGTGCGCCTCTCCCTGGCTTCCAAGAAGCAAGCCAGACTGCCACATGGGAGCTACTGTAGCCTGACACTTCAAACCTAGCTGTGAAGTTACAGCCAGCCACGCTCTGCCCCTTCTCTGGGACAGGGACAAGGTTGGGCAAGAAGGGGACTTGATCCAGAGCTCATGGGAGGCTCTCAAGAGCAGGAGGTCTACCATGAATGAGGCAACCAGTGTGACCACTCCTGAGACCACTGCCTTCTGCTTTTCCCCCCTGCTCGGGGCAGGGCTCTGGATCCCTCCCTTGTCCAAATGTTCCCCCAGGCTACGAGCTCAGATGCCCTCAAAACAGAGTGAATGCAAAGGCCAGGCATTCATAGGGAGTGGTGGTAAACTGGAAACCACCACCATCCACCACGTGAGGGCATTCACGTTTTTGTTTTGTTTGTTTTTTTCTTCTGGTACCAGGAATGGAACTCACAACATTGCGCTTGCCAGGCAGGCGCTGTGCCACTGAGCTAAATCCCCAGCCGTGGGCATTTACTTTAAAGATATGTATTTAATGGGATAGTGGCCAAAAATCACGGGTCCCAGGTGAGGCCTCTGGTCTCCCGTCTGAAACTCAAACAGTCCAGGAGATGAGATGGAAACAGACCGCAAGTCATCACCATAGCCGCTCTGTATGCACCGCTGTGCACGCACACGCACCCGTGTCTATTAGTGCCCTGGGTACTTGGAGCCAAATTATCCTCCATGCCCGTGTTATGGACCCATGAAGAGCAAGCTTTCACAAGCCTTGACCTTGATCCTGAAGTCCCTTGCCCTGACTGTCTGTTCCCTCTGCTCCCTTTGAACTTGGTTCTGGGGAGGCGGAGAGTGGCAGACACACGCCTCCCACAGCTCCCATGCCGGAAACAGTCTCCAGCATCCAGGAGAATTTAAAGTTAGGGTCTCCACGCTCGACTGCTGGTGAAGTCTGTGGGGCGAGGGAGGTGGTGTCCGCCGATGCTCGCTGTGAGGGGTGCAGAGCTTGTGCCGGCCATGTGCGGAACCGCCCAGCACAGACCGTGAACACGCCATGGGCCCGGGCTGGTGCGGTCTGGGGAGCTGTGCGTCTAGGGAGGCTGGCTGCTGGGGACCCCCACCTTTGCTTCCACAGGGTGGTGGAAGGACAGAGGGTCTCTGACTTCCGGCCGCAGCTCAACAGCTCCTCCGTCCCTGAGACCCAGGCGGGGACGCAGTGAGTGCCCGTGAGAAGGGCTGAGGTCACCAGGGAGGTCCAGGGTAAGTTTTGGGTGAGGGCTGGAGTGAGGGATCCAGCAGGGGCAGTGAGGTTCTGGGCAGGGTGGGCTGAGGACAGGCTCAGTGGTAAGGGCTCAGGGAGGGCGGTGAGGGCTGGGCAAGAGGCGGTGTGGTCTCCCTCTTGGGTGGGCCGCTGTTAAGGTCTCCAGTGAGGGATCTTTAAGAACAGAGTGAGGCGATAGGTGAGAGCGCCTTCCTATTTTGTGGGGTGGCCAGCTGCACAATGCCACCCTGCTTCCCTCTGCCACCAGGGGGCAGCCGCGAGCCTACACCAGCCCCATCCTTGGTTTCAGGGGAACCCTGGGCAGGCAACAAGGAGCACCTGGCAGGAGCAATTTCCCTGCTAGCTGGTCCCAGCAGCGTTTGTCAGGTACACAGAACAGACCGGAAGGAGGTAAAAGGGGTCGCCAGGAGTCAGGGCATCTGCTGTGACCCAAGGAGCCACTTCCTCGGCAGAGGAGTCCCCACAGACCTGGGCTCTGAGGGAAAAAAATCACTCTGGTCCCTGGGGCAGTAGCTCTGGGTGACATCTACCTAGGCATCTGGGTGACATCTACCTGGGCATCGTTCCCCCTAGCTGGCTCCCGGTGCCCCTGGGCGCCATCTTGAAGTGTTCTAACCTGCCGCACTCTCTCTCCTCCTTTCCCTTCTGGATGCAGGACGAACTTATCCTCACCCTGCCTTCCCAGCTAGGAAGGAACTCTGTGAGCGGAAAGAGAACAGAAGCGAGGGACAGAGGGAACCATCTGTGGGAGCAAAGGGCACCCTGCACACAGCCCCTCTTTCTATTGAAGACCCTCAGCACCCTCGGGAAGGGGAGATGAAAAGCAACAAGAGCAAGAAATCCAGAGAGAAAATGGGTGGGATGGGCATGGGCTAGTAGGGAATCCTGGGGGGCACTAGCCGAGGACTCCCTCCCCCCAGGACTGGCCGAGCAGGTGTGCGGTGAGACAAACAAGAGACCGTGGAGGCGGCAATCTGTACGTGCGTATTAACAGGGGCGGGGGCAGGATGGAAAGAACACGAGCCTAGGTGAGAGGACGTCAGGTCTGAGCCTCGTCTCGGGCTCCCCTTGCAAACTTGAAAAAGTTCCTTTGTCTGCCAGGTCCTCGGTTTTCTCATCTGAGAAGTCGGGGGCTTGGGATAAGAGTCCATGTAGATGCGGATGCCTAGAGCCACTTTGGGAAGGATGGGAAGTGGCCTCCGGCTGGGCCCAGGGTCTCCTAGAGGTCTCAGCAGGCCGGAGGCAGAGGACTGTAGGCTGAGGTTTCTCATGGAGAAGGGCAGCCCTGCCCGGGTTCTGGCTCCAGGCCTCTCGCCCTTCCTACAGTTCCGTCTCCTTCTCTCCAGCAATGAGGCCTTCCTTCAGGGGAAACGGCCTGTAGTCCTGGCCAGGGCCGTTTTCCAGGTGTAGGTGCGGCCTGGGCTGCGGCAGGCTGGGATCCGGGATGATGAGCTGGGACAGACGCTGCAAAGAGGAGAAGCATTCAGTGGCACTGCTGGTGACAGTTCAAGAAGCAAGAAGAGGTACCACATGGGGATCAAGGGTGTGACCTCCCAGTTCCAGGCCTGGCTCTGCCGTCAGCTACCTGTACAATTTTAGGAGCGGGATTTAAGATGGAGGAGGGACTGTCTGTGCTTGTTAAACTTCCTGTGTTCAGGCTCCTTCGTATTACTGTTTGTGACTTAGTGTCCCCTTTAGTCCTTTAGCGGTCTGAAGTTGGTTACCTTGCCCACACGATCTGCTGCGGGTCAGATTCTGAAGGTGAGGGTTCTATGGCTTTTAAGAGCATTTCTGAAGTAAAGTCATGGACTGGTTGCCAAAGGCCCTTTCATCAAGGTTGCACATGGTGGCAAGGCTGCCCCCACTCAGAACACGTGTATGCTCTGGGCCTACCTCTCTTTGCACCCCCCTTCCCTGGATGACCTCCCCTGGACAACTGGTGGGGATTGAACCCAGGACCTCTGCACTGAGCTACATCTCCAGCCCTTTTTAAATTTATTTTGAGATAGGGCCCCACTAAGTTGCTAGGTGGGGCTTGAACTTGCGATCCTTCCGCCTTAGCCTCCCAGAGTGCTGGGATTACAAGTGTGTGCCATCATTTCTGGCTGCCACCTACCTTCCTGAAGGAACCCTGGGTCTTCATGAGGGTGATGACCATGAAGAGAGGAACGCAGGCCATCGAGGAGAAGGCCAAGATCCAGCCAATGGAGTAGGCCCAGGGAGGGTAGACATAAACATTGTTGTACGTGAGCGGTGTATGCTTGCTCAAGGAGAAGAGGAAGGTGGCCTGAAATTGAGGAAGAGCAGGTGCGGGTGAGATGGGGTGGGCAGGTGTCCCCCTGTTCACACAGGCCAGGATGGAGGAGAAGTCAGACCCTGCAGGGCATCTGAGCTGGGACAGTAAAATTCACTGCAAATCGTGGTCCAAGGCAAGAGGAAACCCACAGGCAAGGTGGGGCATGTGGAACTCAAAGCAGGCATCACCCCTTGCTTCCCAGGGGCAGGGGCGGGCACGTACCAGGCAAAGTCCCGGAGTCAGGAAGAACCAGGAGATCTTCACCAGGGGCCATGGCCGGTAGCCAATCATGTCCTCAATGTTGTCATAGAAACGGTCTGCCCCTGACGAGCACAATGTGGGAAGAGTGTGAGAACCAGAGGGAAAAACCAACTTCAAGAGGCTTTGCAGAAGCTCATGCCCTTCCCCACCCACCCTGTGATAGGAACCAACAGGCTGCAAGAGTGCCATGCATCCCCGGCACCCTGGTTACCAGTGGAGACGCAGAGAGGCACATAGCAAGGGCTGTCACGATAAACCCTCTCTTGCCCCGCTGCCTAGGACATCCCAGTGTCCTAACCACAAAAGAGGGGTGTGAACCTACACCAGGTTCAGTGGCCTGGCAAATGCTTGTTTACCCTGGGCAGCAGAGAGGAATCTGGTTCAAGTCAAAACACCCAGGGTTCCCACTGCTCAAGCGTGTCACATAAACTCGGATGGGACCAGAAAGCTGCTGGTCACAAGACGCCGGCCACAGAGGAGCCATGTCTGAGGCCCCAGTAAAGCATGGTAGGAAGAGTGATCTGGGCTGAGCAAAAATACTAACTTGTTTAGATTTACTTTGTTTAATGTCCTTAGGTTTCTGCAACTGCTCTCTTTCTAGGCAGAGCCAGGCCTCTCAGTGGTAAAGCACAGAACCACTCGCTGGTACAGGTATCTGGAGAGCTCACCTACACCTCCCCAGTCCCTCCTCCCTGGTCCTGATGCGTGAAACCCCACGATAAAGATCCACCGCTCTGATGCTGGGGGAGGGGTGCTGGAGATTGAGCGGGGAGTGGGGGCAGCTTTACCCCTGAGCTACATACACAAAACTCTTTGAAAGTTTTCCTTTTGAGACAGGGCCTCACTAAGCTGCCCAGCTGGCCTCAAACTTGAAACCTTCACACCACAGCCTCCCGAGTACCAGGGACTGCTTTGACTTCTAAAACCCTGAGTTAGAAGCTGTATGTTTCTGGGTAAGCGTAACATTCTTAGCCATCTACAGCTCACTGAATGAGCTTATCAGATCCTCTCTGAGAACAAGGTTTGAAAAGAGGTAGGGGCAACCCAGGAAGACAGCAGACATCTGAGGAGAAAAAGTAAGAGACATCACCAAGGAAAGGAGCGAACACAAATAAGAAGGGTGAGGATAGCAGAATCATAAATCTCCCTGCTCATGGCTTCTCCTGAGACCTCAGTGTGTGACATCAACTTATTCTCTGCCCTGAGCCTTTAACATGGGCATTGTGTCCCCCGACCGTGTGCAGTGGGACCAGTGGACCTGGCGTAGGATAATGGCTCCTCCACTTACTGTGTGAACTTAGGCAAAAGACCCAACCTCTCTGAGGCTCTCTTTCCCTGCAAGAGCTGTTGTTGAGATAGCGTGAGAACGTGTGATGAGAACATAGTGCCTGACACACAGTAACGCTCAACAAGGGAGGGTTTCTTCCCCGTTGTCATCAGGCGTGCTAGTGACAAGGGCAGCAGCGAGGCACTTGGCATTACTGCTTAGTTAGCTCAGTGGCCAAGGCGTAAGGTTGTTGGTAGAAGTCAGTGGAAGGCAGATCTCACCTCACTATAAGAAAGAAATGTGTAGTAGCTACAGTGGAAAAGCCTGCTCCAAAAACACAAGAATGATCTTCCTAGCCATGGAACTATTCAAACCCTGGGTGACATAGCATAGTTACTAGAAAGGGAATGGGGAATGAGCTGTTACCTCCTCTTCTTCCTCCTCCTCCTCCTCTTCCTCCTCCTCCTCCTCCTCCTCTTCACAGTATTGGAGGTTGAACCCAGGGGCTACTGAGCTACATCTCCAGCTCCCCCACCCCTTATTGAGTCAAGGTCTAGCTAAATTGCCCAGGCTGGGCTCAAACTTGCAATCCTGCTGCCTCGGCCTCCTGAGCAGTTGGGACTACAAGTACACCCACCCTAACTGACGGGATGCAGGACTCTGTGGGGGTCAGAGATTAGCCCTGAAGATCCCTTCTGATTGAGGGTCCCACTGGCAAAGGGCTTTAAACAGCCTCCAATTCTAGAACACCCTGTGGGGTTATTTATCATGCCATCCTCTACTCAGCAGAGAAACTCATTCTGCCATGACCTCAGCTCTAGCAACCCCCGTGAGAGACGCCAGGCTGCCCGACCGTGGTTACCCTTCCAGGACAGTGAAGCAGGAAATTGTGGCAAAGACTCTCATCTGAGCAGCTCCTCCCGCTGGCCCGGCCACACTGCCCCGACTCACCGTACACCCAGCTGATGCAGATGACTTCAAACACGGAGAGAAAGAGCAGGCAGATGCCACTGCAGGCGTAGTAGTCAAAGAGCTGGAAGAGGTACATCCCACCCTGCAGAGAAGGGAGTGCCGTTGAGGCCCAGGGGCTGGGGCCAGCACACATCCACTCCACTACAAGGCGGCACATGTCCCTGCGGGCCGCCATCCTGCACAGCTCCTGGAGACTCACTTCTTGCATCTGTGCTGCCTTCAGGACCCTCGTTTACCTCAGGACATTAATCCCTGCTGCCCGGGAGGACGCTGGCATCTGCAGTGCACACGCACTGTTTTGTCTGCCCAGTACCCTGTCTTCTGGGAACTGGTACCGCCTCACTCTGTTCCTCCCTTGGCTCCAGGCCTGAGTAAGTCACAGCCTGGACTCTTGCTACGCTCTCAGGAAAAAGCCGTTTTTCTGCTGAGGGAAAAGGTGAGCCAGAAGCAGAACAGCCTTCCTTGATATCACAGGATGAGAACCTCTGAGCATGAGTTATCAGAAGAAAGGGGGGACCACCACATGGAAAGGAACATTCCTGACCGTGTCCTTAGCGCAGTCTGGAACCAAAATATCGCTGGACTTTACAGCGACCTGATCTCCTATATTCCTCCTTCTGCTGCAACCAAATATAGCAATTTCTTTGCCTTCATGGCTCTACAGCCTCGCTCTGAGCGAGACCAAGCAGGTGGCCACACTCCACCTGACAGCCGAGGACACAGTGACTCTACGAATGGTCAGTAGTGCCCTGTGGCCCTGTCCTGCCGCAGCCACGCCACAGACCGCTCGCCACACTCACCTCAGTGACCAGCAAGAGCCCTACCAGGTAGCACACGACCGAGATGCCAAGGATCAGCAGCTCGCGCCGCCCACGCTTCCGGAGCTGCTGGGGGAACATGTCCACAGAGGCTGTCACCAGGCACTCCATGCAGACAAACTGGGGGCCAGGAGAGGAGTGGGGTGAGAGGGGGCGGGGCGGGGCACTGTCCCCCCCCATGCCATCTCCTGCCCGGACTTCCTTCCCTAGCCGCTCAACACTGACACAGGGGGTGTGGGGAGGCGGGCACAGAAGCAGGAGGGGTAGCATCCTGCAGCCAGGCCAACCTGCTCTTAGCCACACTCCACAACAAGGAGTCCCGACAGAGAAGGCCAGAGGGGGCAGATCTGCTCGTCCCCAAGGCAGGGCCTGGGGGTGGCAGCAGGGGGAAGGCTGGCAAGACACTTGGGGGGGCGCCCGTGTAGGACGAAGCCTTGGGCCTTGAGAAGAAAGCGGACAGCTCCTTCACAGAGGAAGGTATCAAGGCCTGGGACCGCCCAACCCACCCGAGCAAAAAGCAGGGACAACAGAGGGGACCTCAGAGAAGGAAGCGAGGCACAGGGAATGCCAAGATATCCGGAGGCTGGAAAGAAGGGCACCGGGGCGGACCGGGGCTGGGGGGACATACCTGGCTGTCCAGGCCTAGGAACAGCAGCATGATGAAAAAGAGGCAGGCCCACAGCTGGGACAAGGGCATCATGGTCACGGCCTTGGGGAACGCGATGAAGGCCAGACCAGGACCTGCAGGGACAGCGCACCCTCGGGTGAGCTAGCTCTCGCCGCCCCCGCCGCAGCCCCGTCCTCAGGACTGTCTGCATCTGTTGTGTCTCTCTGAGCACCTGTGTGTGTGTCCATCTGTGTCTGTGTGCATCTGTGTGTGTCTGTGTGAGTCTGTGTGTATCTGTGTGAGTCTGTGTGTATCCGTGTGCATGTCTGTATGCATGCGTGTATGTGCCTGCATATGGGTGTGAACAGTGGGGCGCTCCAAGAGGGTGAAAAGAGTCCATTATTCTGCTCTTGAAGAGTGCATTGAAGAGTGCATTATTCTGCTCTTGAACAGAGCAGACCGACAACCCTCGCTGAGTCCAGCGTCCCTCACTGGGTCTATCAGATCATCCGCCCCCTCTTCCTTCTCCCTCCAGGGGTTCTGGAAGCCCTGCTTTGTTCTATGCTCTGCCCTCAAGGCTAAAAGATTCCCGCCACCCAGCTCTTGGACCCTTGCCTCTCTGCAGGAGGGATCTTCACGTTCCCGCTCCCTTGCTCTCCCTTTGAGAGCCCAGGCGGCATAAAGGCACCTACCTGACTCAGCCACGTCAGCAATGGGCACACCCTGCTCTTGGGACATGAAGCCCAAGATGGAGAAGACGACAAAGCCGGCCACAAAGCTGGTGACACTGTTCAAGAAGCAGAGGGCGACGGAGTCCCTGCGGGAGGGGGTGAACACAAAGATGAGAAGGAGCTCGGGTGGAAGAGAGATCATAAGACAGGAAGCGGGTAAGAGGGAGAGGGCGGAGGAAGGAAAAAGGAGGGCAGGAAAAGGGGGCTGGAGAGAGAAGGAGCAGCGGCATTGGGGGCGGTGATCGAGGGCCAGGAAGAGGAGAGGAAGGCGAGGGGCAGGAACTCAACCTGGGAAGGAGCCACCGTGTCAGACTGACACTGCTTGCCGCTCCCTGGGCCCAGGACAAGGGTCTTGGTCCCCCTAGAGCTCACCCCTGGGACCCCGCCCTCCTCAGCACCCAGAGAGGTCAGTTCACCATCACCTACAGAGCCCCACCAGCCCTCACCTGTAGCAGTTGTTGTGGTACTTGTTGTAGCTGCCCAGGGCCGTAAGGCAGCCCTGGCAGATGGCAAAGGAGAAGAAGATCTGGGTGCCCGCATCCATCCACACCTGCATGAGGCCCACGAAAGTGGTCAAGGGGGCAGGGAGGATATCCACGGCCTGGCGCCAGTGTGAGCAGCACCAGAGCTCCCCCACAGCAGAGATGCCTCTCAGCGTCCCTGAGAGTCACACCTGTCCTGCCTGCCACAAACCTGTCTTCCTCCTCCCCACAGGGGCCTTCTCACAGGCAGGGCCCCTTTGCAGTCTGGTTCCCATCGGCACTTTGGAGACACTGAATACATGTGGGCTACTCAGGCTGTACCCGAGACAGCAGGGCTTGTCTGCAGAGCTAAGAGACCCTGGCACTCATACAGCTAGTGCACGTTCATTAGAGCAGTGTGTACGTGCAGCACCTTAGGCAGCTGTGACCTGGTGCAGGGGCCACTTCATAAAAACATAACGAAAACCACTAAGACAGGGCGAAGGGGGGCAAAAAATGTGCTCGGATAAGTTCTAGAGGAAAAACAAATGGTAACCAATATATCGGAAGGGCCCAGCCCCTCCACAGTAAAAAATTGAAACCATAAAGTTATGCTATTTAGGCCAGTCAAGTTATTAAAGATTAAAATAAATTACAGTCGAATTTCACAAGGGCCCTGCAGAGAGAAGTGCATCCTCAAGCAGTGGTAGTAAAAACTTACATTTCTCTAAATTAGTACAATTGGCCCTGCATACCCATGGGTGTCACATCCAAAGTTTCAACCAACCATGAATGGAAAATATTCAGGAAAAAAATTGCATCTGGACTGACATGTACAGATTTTTTTCCTTACCATTATTCCCTAAACAATACAGTATAACAACTATTTGCATAGCATTTCCCTGGTGGGAAGTACTGAAGTAATCCAAACATGATCTAAGAAGATGTGCAAAGATTATATACAAATATTGTGCCATTTTAAATAAGTACATGGAATCTCAGTGGGTTTTGGTATTGTGGACAATCCCTCTCAGATACCGAGAGACCACTGTATATTTAAAAACAAGAACCACCCGGCTGTTAGGCCAGGCTATGGGGTTCTGAGGCAGGCAGGCAGGGAGATGGCCAGTGCTGTCCATACCCTTCCCTGGCACTAGAACATTTATGCGTCCTCAGGGCATTTTTGTTCAATAAGTGGAGGAAATATTACACAGATGATGTTAAAAATGAAATTTACAGATGACAATAGCCAGAAAAAGGCTCATAATATAAGTGAGAAAAAAGGACATATGTCTCTAAATATAATAATTTCAATTATGCTCAAAACACCCCACCTAGGAAAAAAAACGCTGGAAGGAAATACACTAAAATGCAAAGAGATTATATCTTATTATAAGAGATTTGAGTTCCTTGTTCAGTTTTTTCTTGTGTTATCTACTTTTTCTCCAGTGAACATCTACTGGTTTTAAACCCAATTTAAATCAGTAGGAAACTTTCAAAGTCTTGGGGCCTTGCGCCAGTAGTCCCCACACACGCCCACCTGGGGGTCCTTGAGACGGAGCAGGTCTGGCTTCAGGTAGTAGATGATGCCCTCATAGGCCCCGGGGAGGGTGACACCTCGGATCAGCAGGATGACCAGCATCAGGTAGGGAAATGTGGCCGTGAAATAAACAACCTGGAGGGAAGCCAGCCAAGGTCACTGCTGGGGGGGACTGGCTGCCAGGAGGAGGAGGACGTCTCCAGTTCTCCCGCCCCCTCCCCAGGCGGCACAGTCACACGACGCTCACCGCCAGGCTCTGAGCCCACAGACACGGCCGGAGGGGTGAGCGGTGAAACTTTCCACACCTCCCTTTGCACATTCCAGTGGGTCTTACTCCCCAGCGGAGTGTAAGATACACATCAGCAGGGCGGGGGGGAGGCGCCCAGGAGGGGTGACATTTCCAGCCCATAACCCTTCAAAGACTATTTTACAATCCAGACTCTGGTCTGCCTTAATCCCTTATCCTGGCTTTCCCCATGGCCCCGTAGAGGGCGGGACAACTCCTGGCAGTGGAGTGGCCCGATTTGTACGGTCATCTGTGAGGTTTAGACTGTACTTTTCCAGGCTTACAGCTGGGGGAGCAGTGGTGGTCCGAGCGCCAGGTCCCAGGACACACAAAGGCCGCTCCGCTCCACCTGGCCAATCTTGGCTCCCTACCCAGCGGCAGCCTTGTCTGTGTCCTTGTACCACTGTTATCGTTCTTATCATTGCTACTGCTTTTATTTTTATAACAATCCTGGGAAAGGGAGGCCGCTTTGGGAAAGCCGAAAGGTAAGGCTAATGGGAACAGTCAGCTCCCTTCCCTTTCCTGGTTTAAGCAGCATAAAGCACTAGTCTGAGCTCTCTGGGGTGGAAAGGATGTTGAAGCCTGAATTTTCTCTGTAGAACAAGCCACTGTTGTCCATTCCTGACCTGACCCCCTTCAGTGACGTGCAACTTACCACCCCAAAGACAGTTCTGTTTCCTGATTTTTACTAAAAAATTGTCTTGTTATTAAACACAAGCAAGCTGCAGGAGTTTGTGATTCTAACTGTGTAATACACACACATAATGGATCCCAACACACACCTACACACACGCAGAAAAAACAAGGGGAAGAGAGCAAAACTTGGCAAGGATTAGAAGATCAAACCTGCCTTCAGGTTCATACAGTGATTTGCTCCAACAGTGGGGCTTTTATGGTTCTTATTTTGCTCTGAATATTTACTTACACAAACAAGACTTTTATGGTTTATTGAAAAGGAAAGATTTTTCTTGTATTGAGCTAAATTCTGCCTCCTATGACTTCACCTATTCTTAACATGTCTCTCCCTTAAACAACTCTTTCCTTCATCTCTGCAGAGGGACCCTCTAAAGTGTCCCCCAGCACTGTGGGGGCCACAGAGAGCCTACCAGGGGCCACACTCCTCACCTTGCCCGTGGACTTGATCCCTTTCCAGATGCAGAAGTAGCAGATGATCCAGGCAAGCAGGAGGCATAGGGCCAGCTCCCACCGCAGGGCCCCAAGGTTGTGGATGCCCGAGGTGATTCCCAGAACCCGTCTCCTGGTGGATTGGGAAAAAATAAACCATCAGATGAGACGCTAAAGCAACAATGTGCCTCTGTCGCCAAGTGTCCTGATTCGTACAACTGACCCACAGATCTCCTGCCCCAGGGCTCCCACGCCCCCGTCCTCCCCAGCCTCTCCCACGGCCGTGCCATGCTCCCACCTGTGGCCTGTACGGCCCTGGCTGTTAGGAGACCAAATCACCGTAATCCCATAGGTATCTGTGTCTTTCTAACTCATCCCGATTTCTCTGTTGTACAGAGGGATAAAGAGAGAGATTGAGGGTGGTGAGGATGTACGAACAAGTGCACGAAGAGTGGATATTTAGAGATGTAGGGCCATCAGTGAGAAGCGGGCAACAAGGGAAGAGCAGGACGTGGGCTAGGATCTAAAGGGGCATACGGGGCGAGAGAGGTGTACGTGCGTAGAGAGGGTCGTGCAACTGACAGCACACATGTGAGAGGGCACGCAGATATGGTGAGTCTGTGTGGGTGAGGTTGGTGTAAGCGGTAGGGGGGCACGTGTGGCGTGGTGGAGGAGGAGGGGCACGCAGTGGTGTGGGAGGGCGAACGTGTGAGTGTAACGACTTCTGTGGCACAAATCTTCTACTGTGGCTGTCATGGAGTGCCGGTGTGACATTACTGCCCCGAGTTTGGAAGAGATACAGTCGGCTCCCTGAGGCTGCAAAGGCTCTTCCCAGCACATACTGGACACGTGTCCAATGGTGTGGAAGTGTGGGGGAAGTGTGGGGTGGGGGAAGTGGGAGAGTGCAGGGGGACACAGATGGAAAAATGGGAGTCGAGGCGGTCACGTGTGGGTTTGGGGTAAATAAGCGGGTGCAGGTAGGAAGGCATGGGTGGGCATGATGCCCCTCATCGCTCAGTGATGTGGGGTCAAGTGGGCGCAAGAGTGGGTGAGTGCTGCAAGGCATGCACAGAGAGTCTTAGTCTTGCACCCCAGACATTCACACTTGCACAGCTTAGACAGCCAGACTTTCTGCTTAGGGCCCCCGGGCATGTGGCAACCGGGCCCAGCACTTACTCCCAGAATTCCATGACAGCGGAGGTGAAGTTCTCAGAGTGGGTCTCTGTGCTAGTTCTCGAGTGGTTCAGAAAGTCCACGCAATGCTCTGTTGGGACAAAGCGGGGTGCATCAGTGAGGGACACAGTGGGGACAGATGCCCTTATACCCCGGTGCCCTGACCTTCCGGCCCCATCATCAGAGCTTCCTGCCATCCCTGACCTGCCCACCTGTCCCCCACATCTCCAGACTGCAGACAGGGGACCACGTCCACATGCTGCTCTTCTCTGGCACGGAGTGCTGCCCACCCTCCTCCCTCCCCTAGCTATAGAGTTCTGCTCTGTTTCTTTTTCCCATGGTGATGGGTGCTTGTTTTATTGATTTGTCTGCTTCTATCACTAAACTATAAACTCAATGAAGTGAATCCACAGTGCCCTTGCTCAGCCTTGGCACAGGGATGGCACATAACAAGTGCCCAGCCAATATTTTTCAAGTGAATAAATAAGTAGGCAATGACAATGGCCTGCAGTTGCACAACCCAGTCCCACCAAGTTCTCATCACCACACTAATCCTTCCTGAGACTAGTCCAAGGTCCCACAGGAGGGTCAGCCAGCAAGTCTTGCCATGTCCCTCATTATACCTGGCCGTCACCTGCCAGCTGGCTTAGAAGGAAAGACCCCAGCCCAGGGCAGAAAGGATGGGCACCTGTGTTCCAGGGATTGGTACAAGTCGTCCAGGGTAGCTCAGAGGTGAAGGAGCTGAACAGGTAGAAGAGTGCCCAGGCCAGGATGATGATGTAGTAGATGTTCAAATAAGACTCGATGACCACAGATGCTATACCAATGCCTTGGGAGGAGGGACCCAAGAGGTTAACATTAGCAAAAAAGTTACCCAGAAACCACCAGGTGTGCTACCTGTCTCCAGTGCTGCACAAAGAAAACCACTAGGGTTTATTCATCAGCATGAGAAGCTATTCACAGTGTGTTTTTCTAAGTAAGAAAAATGGGTTATAGGTCACTACCTTATGCATTTCCCCATTTTTGTAACATATACGTGAATATATCTCTTCATGAGAGAAACTCGTGAAGGGCCGCCCCCACAAATAAGATTTCACTTCACTGTTTCAGGTTTTTTCTGCCTCTCTGCCTTTCCTATTTTTCTAATACAATCACAGACTGCTAGTAAAATGAAAAGGGGCGGGAAAACTAAAGCATAAAGAGGAGGAGGTAGTAAGAATCAGATGCGGGGTAAAAAAAAAAAAAAAGCAAAACGCCCAACAGGAAGAGAGAAGTGGGCCCGTGTCAAGAACTGAAGCCCTGTGCTATTTCAGCACTTAGCCACTCAGGCTCTGGCTGGTGGATACACTTGGTCTCCTCAGCGGAAACAAACATGCTACACAACTGGAATCTCTCCAGTCGTTTAAGAAGTAGCATGTTAGCTGGGCACAGTGGCACACACCTGTAATCCCAACACTGAGGGAAGCTGAGACAGGAAGGTTGCGAGTTTGAGCCCAGCCCAGGGAACTGAGAGACTTAGTGAGCCTCTGTTTCAAAAGAAAAAATAAAATAAAAAGGGGTGGGGATGTAGCTCAGTGCAAAAGCCCTGGGTTCAATCTGCAGAATGACCAAAAGAAGAATGGGGGAGGGGGGCGGCAGGGGCAGATGGTGTGGAAGCCAGTGCGGAGAAGCCAGGGCCTGCCCACCCACCGCTACCCGTCTCTTCCCCACCCTGTTTGTGCAGACCAGCAGCAGATGCTACTTAGTGAAAGACTGTGGGACTGAGGGCTGGCGGACGTCAATGCCGACTGGGAGCCAAACCGCCTGTGCCAGAAGAGCCCACTCGGTTGGCCTTTTCTGATTGGCCTGGCAAAGTAGGGTTCCCTATGATGGCCTCCCCAGCATCAGGCAGGGGGCGCTGCAGGAAGGCGGAGGCCCTGGGCTGCCACCGGATCTCTGGGTAGTAGCAGGGAGAGCCTGCGGGATATTTACAGCACGCAGAGCACCCAGGCACACACAAACAAGCAGCTGCTGTGCTCCCAAGGGCTTAGCCAGACTGCACAGGGCCGTGATCAGCCTGGTAAACAATGGAGCCCGGGCCTGGAGTGGGGAGCACGACCCTAACGGTGCTGGCTGGGCAAGGGGCAGGAAGGTGGGCGAGACGCGAACCCGGGAGCTTGGGCGAAGGCAGACTGCGCGTGCGCAGTGGACGTGGAGGGCACCATGGGAACGAGCCGGCGTCGGGCAGCACACCGGCAGAGAGCAGCGGGCAAGGCCCCACCAGCAGCACGCTCCTCGAGTGTGCCTCTCCCAGCGCGCCCAGGCCCCTAGGAGCCCAGTAACTTGGGAAAGGAAGGAGCAGCCATCTCAACCCCAGCTCGTCCGGGGCCCCCTCCGCCCACACCACCCCCGTAAGACAACGTACCGTTCTGGAGAGGGCAGCCCTGCCTCGCTGTCTAGGAGCTTGCCTGAACCTGGGGACAAGACCCACCTGGGACCACTGCTGGGTCCAGAGCAGAGCACCAGGACACTCCTGCGGCGCCCTGAACTGTCAGCAGACAGGGGGGCCACGCTCCGCCCTGCCCAGCCCCGCCCCGCTCCTCCACAGGGTCCCCCGGGCTTGCCCTCCCCAGTCCGCGGGGCGCCTGGCCTGCTAAGGAGCCAGCGTGTCCCCTCCATGCGCCTCTGTTCAGCACAGCCTGGCCCCTGCCTGGGAGGCCCCAGATAGCCCGGTTCCGGGGGCTTCCTCAGGCGCTGAGTGGAGGGGAAGAAGCCTCCGTGTTTTCAGATTTGCAAGGAAGCTCTCAGGGACTCTTAGCATCTCACTGGTCCCCGTGGGACTCGCCCTCTCACCTAAAGAGGAACGGAGGAGGAGCAGCCCACAGCTCACACTCGTGCCAGCAGAGCTGGAGAGCTAGGAGTAGGAGCAGTCCCGTCTGTAGGACCGCGAGAGGGGAGGAGCAGGGTACCCAAAACTTCTGTGAACAGCCCTATTTCCCTTATCTACAAAGTGGCTCAACAGAGTCACTGGGGCGTTGGATGAAAAACACGGGCAAAGGGCTTCCCTGAGCCTGGGCCTGAGCCTGAGCCAGGCTAGGGCCCCGCACATGCTGGATGCCCATGTGGAACCGCACCGCACGCTCACACACACCCCTTCCAAGCTCTGCGCCTCTGCTCGTACGTGTAACTCTGCGTTGCTTTTCCTAGACCACGCCCTCCTCCCAAGCTTTATGGGCTTTGGGCCCCACAAAGCCCGACTGTGCGATTAGCACGGGGTAAGATGGACGAGCGGCCGAATGGTAAGGAAGGGAGGGACAGAGGAAGAGTGCTTCTGGAGGGCGACCCTACAGGGAGGACACTCACCCTGGAAGAGGGGGCAGATCTTCCTCCAGGCTGTGACGCTCCCCTGGCTGGTGTACTGGCCCAGCGCCACCTCCAGGAAGAACACTGGGATGCCGCAGCTGAGGAAGAAGATGAAGTAGGGCACGAAGAAGGCTCCTGCAGAGGAGAGGGAGACCGGGGCTGAGCCACGCCTCGGCGCTCTCACCTGGGCCTCCTAAAACCCTGTCCTGCGGCATCTGAACCCTCAGCCTGCCTCCCTCAGCCGGAGGAGGCCGAGACGCTCTGACCTGAGCGGTGTGTGAGGTGTGTGAGGTGGGCGAGGCCTCGGAAGGGAAGCGAAAGAACCTGGAGGTGGGAATCCCCAAACGCACACTGTTGGTGTTGTAAGTGTGCTTTACAAACCCGGTCAATGTATTATTTTGGGAACAAAAACATGTGGTGTGTATAATAAGATGTACTTATTAAATTCTCAAGTCTGGTACCTTTCAGAGAAAAACAAACAAGCAAAAACGCCTGGGAAATGCTATTTCCCTGTTGGTGATTTTGGTAGTTGGCTCTGGCCTGCAGGGGATGAGAAGGCTGTCTAGGTGCTGACCTACAGGCGCCAGGGGGAGCCAGGCCTGGGAGCCAGCCCCCAGGTTACACATGAGGGGTGCAGACACCACCAGCCTGGGGCGCCCCAGGGGTGTGAGTCACGTGGCACCCTCAGAGGCTCCTAGCACTTACTTGGTGCTTACTGTGTGTCACACCCTCTTCTAATGCCTCACCAACAGGAGATCCTCACAGAACAGCCTCCATGGTCAGGTACCACCGCCGTCCCCATGTTACACAGGAGAACCCTGAGGCCAGGTTAAAGAGGCAAAGCCTGAGGCCGAAATGAGGTAAGGGAAGCTCCAACCCAGGTGATCTCATCCCGAGGCTGTGCACCTCCACCCCACATCACAATGTCTCTGAAGTAATCCCACTTATGGTGTAGAGAAATGGAAATTGCAGGCCAAAGGAAAGGGCGAAGCATTGCCTAGGCTTCCTTTGTTTCTTGAACTCTTGCCTTGTCAGGCCAACAGCCCTTCCAGCCCTCCTTCCCGACTTCTTAGGAGCACACATAAATTTCTTCTTTGCAAAAATGAGAACCAGGGGCCGGGGATATAGCTCAGCGGCACAAGCGCCTGCCTGGCAAGGGCAAGGTCCTGAGTTCGATTCCCAGTACCAAAAAAAAAAAAACAAAAAACAAAAAAATGAGAATCGGCTATGTATTATCTGCCAACCATTTTCAAATTTTATATCATGAACCTCCTTCTATCAATAATATATATCTGTGTCATCATTTTGGTAGCTGCAGAGTATCCCAGCCCACGGAATTCCAGTGCATTTCATCAGTACCCTGTCACTGGATGTTTTGGTTGTTTCATTAGGAACATGGCTAGCGTTCCAGGGAAGCCCACTGTCCATGTCCCTCTGCCCCCTCCACAAATAACCAGCAGGGTAATTGCTGATCCCAAAGGTGTACACTTTTTTTGCTTTTGTGTGTGTGTGTTTATATATGTGCCATTCTATTTTTAAGTTTTAGTGGCATTTAGCACATTCGCCATGTTGTGCTACCATCACCACCATCCACCTCCAGGACTTTTTTTGTCTTCCCAAACCAAAACTCCACGTGCATACAGTAACTCCCTGTCTCCCCGCTCTAACCCCCCGCCCCCAGCAACTCTACTTCCTGTCTCTGTGAACCTGCCTATCCTATGCACTTACACAAGCGGTATCGTGCAGTATTTGGCTTATTCTACTTAGCGTATCTTCAAGATTCATCCACATCATAACATGTATCAGAAGTCTCTGTTGTGAAAGGCTAAATGATGCTCCCACCGTGCTTTGCTTATCCGTTCATCTGCTGATGTCCACTTTTGTGCTATGCACATTTTAAAAAAAAGTCTTTGTTGAGCATTTTCCAATCGCCCTCCCAAACCCTTAAACCAACCTGTACTTCCAATAGATATGCATGAGAATAAAGAAGGATGTGTGTCTTCTGGGCCCCAGGGAGCCATAGCAAGCTCCTGACTCTCCACTGAGCCCGAAGTCCGAGTTAAGCCCCATTTGCCTTTCCAGAGCGTTGCTAAACACACTAGCTCAGGTTTGCATTGCTTGGATGGTCCCAAGGCTAGGCTGAGGGTCAATTTACAGGAAAAGGACATGGCTCAGTGTCCAGGAAAAGTACCGCAAGAGGATACTTTGTAGAAGACTACAGGCCTCTTCCCACCAGCTGTAGGAGGTCCTGCCTTTTAACAAAGGAGGAGCTTCAGCGCTGTCCTTGGGCTGCAGACTTTTACCCTGACAGAAGACAGGGGACCTCTGGAGGCGTACAGCTGGCCTCCGCAGGGTGGTCCCTTAGGTCTGAACTTTGGGGGAGGGAGGCGGTAGTCTCTGGGTGGAGTGTGGGGGGATCCTCCAACCTCTGCACTCTGCTGGGGCTTCCCACACCAGTACTACAAACATCCTCCCTTAATTAGTTTACCAAACCCTTGCCACAGAGGCGCCCCTGGTCCGAGCCCGCTTGGGGTCTGCTCAGGCTGTAGACAGAGCAACCTGAGGATATCCCACAGGGATCTTCGCAGACAGGTACTTGATGCTGGTGGTTAAAATCTGCCTCCCTCCCTTCTGAGCTATGCCTTATTCTCCCTGCCAAGTGTCTTTCCTGAACCACGAACAGTGTCAGTATTCAGAATTTCATATAGTTCTGGCTTGAGGTGAACAGTTTCTCCAGGGTGATCTGGTTTCGGGGCTCCTGTCTTTTTTTATATAACAGACAACCATATCAGATCAATAACCTTCTTATTTCTACGCTTTTGAAAGATTTCTCTGTAGAACTGTTAACTAAACTAGTAAAAAACATATTTAACTGCTCATCAAGACTTACAGTCAGCTTGAGATCAAGCTGATTTTCACAATGAGTAGCACTCCAGCTAACAGCAAAAAATATTGACCTTTGGATTAAGCGATGATGTCATGTTCTTTAGGTCTGTCTCTCCCAGATGACCCAGCCCAGGCACCAAAGCCTGGGGCCCGAGCTCCCAGCCCTCACACACTGTCTTTTTAGGTGGCAGAGTGACACGCATACAGGGACTTGGGGACCCGCTGCCCCACACTGCATGCGTCTGGCTAGCTCTGTGAAATGAAGCCTGGGACTGGCTAGTCCTTAGTGCTGGCTCGAGCATCTCACCTGTCCATGACCTTGTGTGTTGGGACAAGGAAATAAGCCACCACCCCTTTCTGCCTCCCTAACCTCTGGCCAGCACCAGCTCCCTCTGCACTCAGCACCCAGCCCTGACCCACCCCCACAATCCCACCGCTGTTTCTTTGGAGTCATTGGTTCAAGAAGTTTGTGACAATAACTCCAAGGTTTAAAACATATAGCAAGATACCTAGTAGATGCTCAATAAATAGTTGTTAAATTAAATACGAATAGTGTTTAGAGGGGTTTTCCTAAACAATGGTTACCTCTGAATGTGAGTGCTCCTTTTTTTCAACCTTCCTGGAATACTTCTAATATTTATGATAAGAATGCATCCATTCCAAAAGAAGAGTAAAGTTAATTTCAAGGGGTGAAAATGAATCTGACCAGTCACAGAGGAAGACAGAGTGAAGGGTTTCGCTTACAGGAAATACCACCAATAGACAGGTACGAGCAGACAGCAAGCTAATGGCTTCCAAGAGCTGTGGCAGAAGGAAATGGGGATGGGGAGGGGAGTGCTGGTGGGCACGGAGTTGTTAGAAAGCTGAAAATGTCCTAAAATTGTGGTGGTGGTTGCCTAATTCTGTGACTATACTAAAATCTGTTGAGTTGTGCATTTTCAAAAAGAATGTGACCCCTCTGTGCCCTGATGCTGCTAATTTTTACTACTTGGACCGTAAAACAGTAAAATTATGTTTCTTTCATTTGAAAGAAAAATCATAGACAAGCTATCACTTCTCCAGTTAGAATTCTTCAGCGGCTCTAAACAAAGCCTGCAGCATCTGACCCCTCCACCTCTCTGAGTTCATTCCCTATTATTTCCTTATTCCACGCCCTGCTGCCTCCTCATGGTTACTCAGTTGTGCTGTTGCCCTAGGACCTTTGCACTTGCTGCTTCCCCATCAGAAATATTCTTCCTTCCTTATCCATGCATAAGACTGACTCACTCTTGCACCATAGTAAGTTTCTGCTCAATGTTACCTTCCTCAGTAAAAACCTTTCCTGGTCACCCTATTCCACATTTCAAAGCCCTCTCCCCATCCCCGTAAATCCCATGACCCCTCTCCCTCCTCCCCCTTTATTTATCCTTCCACTCATCACCATTTGACATACACATTCTTCGCGCCTGGGATCTGCCCGCCTTCACCAGAATGTAATGCACAGGGAGCTCTGTGCTGTGTCTGGAACAGTGTCTGGCATGTGATAGGCTTGAAATACCTAACTACTACTGCAGTTGAATGAATGGATGCATTCTACCAGCCACTGACACTTATATAGAATAATAAAGGAGCTTATTAAAAGCCTTGATGCCTTGGTCTACCAGATGCCTCATTTAAACATCACTGTGATGGACACTGAGGCTCCGCTGAGCCCTCCAGCTTCACGACAGACCTTCCATTTCACCACACTGCCCGGGAGGTGGGGCCCCGGTGGCACTGCCCCGCTGTCAAGGCACGACTCCCCACCGCGCCTACCTCCAAGTGAACTCACCACCTCCATTTTTGTAGCAGAGATAGGGAAACCTCCAGACATTGCCCAGCCCAATGATCTCCCCGGCCACTGACAGCACAAACTCCATCTTGTTGGTCCATTGGCCCCGATCCTTCACCTGGTCCTTGCTTTCCTGGTCCAACGTTTCTGCTTCCTCAGGGATCCAGGAGACCGCATCCTTGGGGACTGCCACTTTCCTGTCCATAGCCCTGCCGCGGACAGTGAGACCCCACGGGGTAGGACAGGACGGCTTGAGAGGCAAAGCCTGGAGAAGAAGGGGAGCTGTGAACCCCATGTGTGCCCCACCATCCGCACTGTCCCCACCGGCCCCGCCTTCCCTGCCAACGTCCCCAGGCCAGGCTTGGCTCTCAGAACACCACTGTCCTCCCCGACTTTTCTCTGTGGCATTTCCACCTCTCAGAGTCACGAGACAAGGACCACATAGAGCGCAAATCTTGGTTTAATTGACTCTGCAGATGGAGAAATCAGGCCTTGAGAGACAGAATGACTTGTCCAAGACCATTTAGGAGCAGAGCAGGTATTAAAACCCAGGCTCGAGAACCTTGATTTCAAGTCCTTTTGATCTTTGCAGCCAACGACCGTCACCGCAAGGTTGTCTGCCTAGACCCCGGGTCTGAGAGATGCCACGCCAGCCTCTGGCCTATGCAGACGGGGTCTGAGACTGCCAGGGTCAGAGAGTGGGTGTGGCCAAGGGGCTGCATGGAGTTCTCCCAGCCAGTTGGATGCTCAGCCCTGTGTCGATCAGCGCAGGGTTCACAAAGGGCCAGTTTCTCAGGCGCTGAAGGTGGAAGTAGGACCTCTGAACCAGGCAGAAGGGGATGAGGATCGGCACCAGGGCCTCCGGGGGAGCCCATTCCTTCTTCCTCACAGGTCTCTCTGTCCTTAAATCACTGGTGGGTGTGGGGCCAGGAGGGGTCGGCACAGCAATCACCACTGGGTGGTGGACATGCCTAGATGACCCGAGGACAACTGCACCCAGCTGGACTGCCCACTCAGACCATCACTGCCGGCCCTACCTGCATCCTGCAGCGCCCAAAGATCCCAGAGCCTCCGGCAGAATTATGTGGGGCCTCTGCATTATTTTCTGTCCCTCTCCACTGTCCACTGCCAGGAGGTGAGTCGCATCTGCCTCTATCCCAGGGAAATCCCCAGGGCAGGGCCCAGAACATGGGGGCTGGGACAAGTGCATATCCCCCCTCCCCTCCAGTGGGTACTGGGGGAATCACAGCAATTTGGTCTATGGAGGGCTCCTTACTCCGCTGAGGCTCTAGGGAAACACAGGGCATCTTTTCATGAAGGAAGAGTCTGTGTTTATTTGTTGGTTCTTTTAACCCAGGCAACAGCCCAAGCCCAAGTCAGTTAGAGAGGTGTGGGCAGGAGCCATATGAGGTGATGGAAATTTTTGAAGGTGACCCGGAGGGTAGAGGTAATCCCAGGAATGGAAACGTGTGTTGGGGTGAAGTGCCGGTGCTGGGGCCACTCAGAGGCTTCTGTTGCAAGTTCAGCCCTGCAGGAAGCTGGAGACGTCACCAGTGAGACTCAGAGGTTGTGAGCCTCCGATAGGAGAGAGAAAAAGACAGAGGGGAAGGGCCGGGCCGGGTTGGGAGTAAGAGCCACAGCAGGGGGAAGGGGATGTGCTGAGAGCCAGACCACAAGGACCTGGCCCCAGGGGAGGCGCCACAAAGCTCCCCTCAGACAGGCACACTGCTCCTGAGTTGGAACTGGGGCACCCAGGGCCCCTGAATCATTCCCAAACAAATGAATAAATGAATGAGCTGAAATCACCGCTGCAAAAACACAGACAGGAAACCTGCGTTCTAGTTGACTTAGCTCATTACAGTAATAATAAAAGGTTCACATCTGAGTAAGTGCTGTGCTAAAAACAAACAGATCCTTCCAGTGCCTTATTAAATCTTATCCCCGAGGCGGTCTGCGAAGTTGGTACTCCTGTCGGCTCAGCTGTGCCCCCAGGACCTGACACTCAGAGATTAGGGAACCACATACGGCACCTGGCAGGCAGGTGCTCAGGGCGACCGTTCTGAATGGGCGGATGGACTTACCAAGACAGTAAGCGGTGGGGCGGGGTCTTGCTGCGTGAGCCTAGGCAAATCACACCTTCTCTCTCAGCCTGAAGTCTTCCTAAAAGAGAGAACGAGCCCTGTTCAACAGGGCGCTGGGAGAGTGGGGGCAGAACCAAGCAAGCCATAAAAAACAAGAAGCTAGTCTCGGCTCACCAAACCACAGGGCAGCTCAGCTCAGTGCCGGTCCAGGCACAGGGTCCCCGGGCAACAGTGGAGACCGGCCTCACTGTTTCCAGACCGGAGAGGCTATGGCAAGAGCACGGTCCCCGCTGACTGGAGAAGGGGACTCGGGAGAGGAATAAATGAAGGGAAAGCCGGAGGAGCGCAGGGCAGGAAGTCCCAGAACCCAGCGGGAGCCCCAGACTTGAGCTGCACCAGAGATGAAGCAGGGAAGAGAGTATGAACTGATGAACTGACGCGGACAGCACATACTATATTTTTTAAATAAAAGGATTACTGGGAGGACTGTGACTTGTGGGTAAGAAGGAAAAACTGAAATACCAGGAGAAAAGCAATAGCAAGTGGAAAGGAAGGCAGCCCGGAGCCATGGCACGCCAAGAGGAAAGAGCCGGAAGCTGCCGCTAGAGGGGTTGGAGCTAGACGCCCAGACACAATGTCTTGGAGGGTGTTAGACGTAAAGACGAGCTGCACAGGGCTCTCCTTCCTGAGATACTTTTAAAATGGACAGCGTCCCCCGCTCCCCACCACGCTCTTCTACCTCCAGCCCGTTCGCTAGGGATTGTTTCACCACAGCACTGTCCACAGCTAAGACAACCTCTGGCGCTCTCCCCTTCCCCAGGGCCCGCCCCAGCTCGATTACCTCTTCGGCCATCGGCCTCTCCCCTACAAGGCTACCCACCTGCCTGCCAAGCTAGGACAGGGGACAGAGGACAGGGGACAGGAAATGGACCTTACCATACTCAGGCCCCCCCGAAGCAAAGACGCCCAAGTGCACGCTGGGCTGCAGTGTCTAGGAGGTGAGGGGGTGCAGAGGCAACGTTGTTTCCGGGAGCAGCACGCACAGACAGAGGCCTGTCTGGGCTCCAGCAAGGAGAAATGCTGTTCCACGTGCCCCTCTCCCAGTCAGGCACAGGAATGGCCCGGCCCGACTCGGCCACCCCACACCCACATACCAGTACCCATTCCTGTACACACACTGGTGCGATCGCCCGTCACGTCCCTCTGCTCTCACATACCTATGTGCATGGCCCCAAAGCCTGACTCGCCTGTCGTCCCTCATGCCCCAGGAGTGGCTGGGCTCTGCTGGTGGCTGCCCACGCCTTTGCTGTGCTCCCTCACTGCCCGCACCCGTGCCTCCCCCAACCCAGGAGCAGGCAGCTTCCTCCTTCAGGGAGATACTGGGCTTCCGGCGGCCGCCTGCTGAGAGGGGGAGGGCTGGAGTGCTACCAGCCAGCACGGACTGCAGATCCAGCCTCAAAAATGCCCCGAGGCTCCTCCTGTCCAGCCTCCCTCCCACCTCCTGGGCACTGTCTGCTTCCCTCCCCCTCAGTCAGGTGACCACCCCCCTACTCCCCCTGCCCTGGCTGCTCCCCACCCGTGGACTCTCCTGCTACTCACTCTCCTGCTATCCCCGAGCAGCCCCAATGCTGTGTGTGTTGAGGGGGCCTTTGGGTGGTTCCCATGTCCTGGCTCCAGCATTACTGCTTATCACACTTTCCCTCTGGCCGCTGGGGCTCCCAGGGCCCTGTCCCCCCACGCGCTCACAGCGCTGTGAAGTTCTACCTTCCAGCTCTCAGCCCGCTCCCCCTCCCTCCGGGGCAGCAGTCAGAGCCTCACTTCCTGCTCACCCGCTCTCCTGCTGCCTGGCCTTGTCATTGTCCCCCACCCCCTGCAATCTGCTCAGCTCCAGCACGGTCAGTCCCAGGGAAGTGGGTTAGCCAGTGCCAAGAACCAGACCTGAAGGAGAGCGGTCCTCCACCCTCATGCCATTCCGCGTGTGTGTGTGTGTGTGTGTGTGTGTGTGTGTGTGTGTGTGTGCTGGGAAGTGAAGGGACAGAGAAATACCACAAGCAACAGGAGGATGGAGACCAGAGCTTTGTAAAGCAGGATTAGACACCCAGTGTCAGAAGTCAGGCCTCTGCCCTTCCCCCAGCCCATCCCCACTACCTCTCTCCCTCTACAGCACCTTCTTTCCAGGGGTCTCCAGACCCCTCCAGAGCTGGGAAGGGCTCACACACGGCTGCTGGGAACTCCTTCCCCTCCTCCTGCTGCCTACCCCTCCCCTTTGCCTTTGCTGAGCGCCCCAGCACCATCCCCTTCTTAGGCACGGCCCTCTCTTACCGAAGCAGTAGGGTGTGCGCCACCGACTCCAGGCGGGAACCTGAGAGCTCTGGAGGGAGCTGGCTTCAGTGACGGGCTCAGGAGGAGGGTGAATCACAGCTGGAGTTTTCCACCAAGTACCTGCCCTCTGTGGCTTCTAGGCAAGCTCTGGTCCTTCACAACCACCGTCCCTCCTTGGGATTTTCCTAGAGAAAGCACCCTGAGCACGCCTGTGTAGAGGAAGCGGCAGGGAGGATCAAGGCCACGGGTACAGCCCTTGGCAGAGCCGGCCCTGCGCTCCTGCTCTGTTGTCTACCAGTCTGGGCGCTACACAGGGACCCGAGTGTCAGCTTCCCACTCTGTAAAGTAATATGTGCTCTGCAGGTTTGCTGTGAGAGTAAAAACTCCCATAGCAAGTCGCTTAGGTATCGCAAGCACTTACGGCGAGTCGCTGGCGTTTATTGTGGGTCCTCTGGACAGGAAGGTTGGAATCCTGACGAGCACTAACGGTGCCCTGCCACCCCTCCGCCCCGAGGCACAGGGCAAGGACACATCCACCACAGCCTGGCGGCCTGGCAGCCGTCAGTGGAGAAGGGCTGACTGTGTGGGCCCTGTGCCAGGGGCCCAGTGGGCCTCTCCGGAGGGGGGTCCCTGTCACCAGTCCCAAGCACCTAGTCACAATGCTGGGCGCAGGACTGTCCCACGGCCCTTTCTTCAGAAGACAGAGGTGCTTCTTCAGCTGTAGGTGGGCGGAGGCAGGGGACGTTGTGGGAGAAAGGGAAATTTCCCTGTACATGTGCTTCCTCTTCGTCTCTGAGAACATCCCCGCAGTGGACGGCTGTGAAGTGAGCCTTCCGGTCTGTAATTTTCCACCGGACACCCCCACGCAGCATGTCTCAGGCCCCTCTCAGCCTGTGGCACGGGGTTCCCCATTGTGAAAAAAACAGCGTGAGTTTCAGTTCTTAGATGGCTCAGCTCTGTGAAGCCGTAGGCCAGGCTGGAGGCAGTCCTGGCAAAAGAGGGCCCAGACCTCCAGAATCGCTCTTGTCACCCCTGTGCTCCGCTGGCCCGTGTGATCCACACTGCTGCTGTATCTGCATTGTCCGTGTATATTTGGTTCACCACATACGGACCATAGAGCTTACTACAGAGGGGACACCAGTGCTCACGGGAGTAAATAGTTGCAGTTATCCAAGAACAAAATATTCATCTGTTGTGGTTTCTACTGAGATGTCCCACTAAACCTCATGTGATCATAGGTGGGACCTTTGGAAGGGATTAGATTACGGGGGCTTATAGCTGACTTGCTATTAGGAGGTAGGGTCTGGTAAGAAGAAGTGGGTCACTAAGTGTGACCTGGAAAGGTTTACCTCGCTCCGCAGTTCCCGCCTTGACTGCTTTCGGTCTGCCATGTCTTACCCATCTGTCCTCTCCCATGCCTCTCTGCCGTGTCATCCTGCTTCGGAGCCGGGGTACTATGGAGTGAAATCTCTACCAACCCCTCCCCCTTTAACTTGTGGATATAAGGTATTTGTCGCAGCATGGAGGAAAGTGATTAGGACACCACCCTCTCCAAACTCACCCTTTTGCCCAGCCCGATCCTCTTCCTGTGCCCCTCTCAGGGAGCAGAGTTTGATTTTTCTAACAGAGTGGCCTACTCCTTCCCTTCGTTACTCCTTCCTGATTGCCTCTGGCCTGAGTCTCACTGTCCTTGAGCCCTTCCTTATTCACTTCTACCCCAATCTCCATGGTCCCCAACACCTTCTGGGTCTACGGAGCAGTGGGAAAACTCTGGAAGCCAGAAACCCTGTCTTGCAAAAGGTAGGCATCCTGCTAAGTCTAGCTAAGTCTGGGCAGTTTCCATACCCGGAAGGGTCTGGAGTGGAGATGAAATATGATCAAATGATCTCACTGTGACAAGAACCAACAGACCCTGTGCGTGATTCAGTGGACCTGGGATGGGACCACCGCCTGAGCATCTCACGCACGCTCTGTGCTCTACATGTTACCTCGCATAATCTCCTTAAGAACCTTACAATACAGACCCTTGACAGAGTGAACGCTGGGCTAAACAGAACCTCGTGATTTGCCCCAAGGTGATGCACTAGTAAACGGTGAAGCTGGGATTTGCTTCCAAAAACCTATGCCTGGTTCCAAAGTCCTACACTAGTTCCACTGTAGCATAATGTTTCCCAGACCACGAATATCTAACAGGTGGGAATCTGGTTTCAAAATCCTTTGTTCCTGCCTCTAGCATGTAATATAGCACTGCCTCGGAACAGGCACTTGGAATTTATCAGGCGGATGGAGGGATGGTGGGTGTATGGATGTACGCATGCTCCTTGGGGGAAAATATATTATCTCAATTTCTGCGCAAGCATTGTTTCCCCAGAACTAAGAGACAGACTAGAGCATGGAGGGCGCGGGGCCTGCTTTTCTGGAATAATATTGCTGTGCTGAACAGGGCCACGGAATGCTGGTTATTTTAGTAGTACCTTTCTCTTGCCTTGTAGCAAATATGCTTAACTTCAAAACTGTGTAGCCTCCTTCGTGGGGCCAGTGTAGCCTTGTTACAGCAAGGACGTCGCTGTTCCACTGACAGCTCAGTGTAGGGGCCCGGAGCCAGGGTAAAAAAGGGGATTTGCTCCAATGTGTCCCACAGGCAGCCATCCTATACTGTCTAGTGGCTCCCACCGCACTATGATGTAAACAGTGTCATTTCCATTTTTATAGGAGAGAACTGAGGACCAGAGGGGTTAACTTGCCCGAGGTCACACGGCGAGTAAGCACGGGGCGCCGAGTCAGGCCTGAGGAACCCTAAAGGCCTGTGCTTGGCTGACTGTCATGTCCGAGTCTGTGCGTATGGACACATCTGTCTGAGGGCAGTGAGGGACTGTGTGTGCACTGTACACACGTGTGAACCTGAGGCCTGGGCACACACGTGTGCAGCCCAAGCCCCGAGGCAGCCCGGTGTGCCCGGCCCTCCTTAGTGCTTCCCTCCTGCCAAGGGCTGCAGTTTGGAAACCTTCCCGTTGCCTGCGCTTCTGCTCTCTGCCCTGGGCTCTCCCCTGCCCCGGGGCCCTTCCACCTGCCTTCCCTCTCCGGCAGGAGTGGCTTCTGGGCAGGGAGGGTGCCCCTTCCTGCCCTGCCAGCTTTCTTCCTCTAGGAGCTACAGAAATCAGACTCTACCCTTCTGCGCAGGAAAAGCAGATGGGGCTGAAACATCTCCCGGTCCCACCTCCTCCACTCGCTTGGCCCGGGCACGAGGCTGCGTCTGCAACTGTCTCCCCTTCCTGGTGGTCAGAGCACCTCCACCTCGTCCATTTCCCCCAGCTGGCTTGATGACTTCACGCCCGCCGACTGGAAAGGGCTCTGGCACCCATGACCTCATCTGAGCCCACAACAGACCCGTGGAGGCCAAGGCACAGTATCCTCATCTAGCAAACGAGGGTGAATCACAAGGAGCGTCCACCAGGACGCACAGCAATGAGACATTAACCCAGGCAAGAACCACTCCCCACATTCTTGCACCAGTGGGTGATTTTTCACACTGTACAGCCACCGTTCGGGAGACTCCTGAACAGGGCTCAGGTCTCTAACACAACAGCTCTGGACCCTCCCCAGCTCAGCAGACCCTCCGAGCTTTGATCAGAAGGCTGAATGCTCAGCTGGAATTCCCGACCACCTGGGCTTCACCAGCAGGCTCCTTCCGGCCCTACGCCTCCCTGCTCTGTGCTCTTATCTCTCATAGCAGCTGCCATGTTTGTTTGAGAAATCGTATCTGACACTGTAAGTGGGGACAGCATCACACAGCTCTGCACAGTGGTGCTCTGGAAACAACGTGGGACAGATGGAGAGGCTGGAGGTGTGTTGGCTCTAGCTTCGGGAGCTTCTCTGGAAATTTACTTCTCCTAAGAACTGTGGCTGAGCCCGGTGCGCTGTCCAGAAAGGCCAACACATGGTATGTGTGTCTGGGGGGGCTGCTGTTGGTGAATTTTATAAATCTTCCACCAAGAAATCCAAACTTGAAGACTGGCAAAGGTTGCAGAGCATTTCCTCACAAACTGACAAGGAGAAAAAAAAAAAAAATTGATACAATGATGCAGAGGACCCCGTGCACACTTGATGGCCCCCTGAGAATCATGGGACACACCACCGCCCCAAATGGTACCCGCCGAATCTACTGATGAAGGGGCCGGGAGTACGTTCACACGAAGGAGAAACTGCAGCCCCAGGCTCAGCCACTTCTCCACACACCCAGGATGCAGCCAGGGACCTCTCCGGCCTCCGGGGAAGGCAGCTGGTCAGGGTGTCAGGGGCTTGGCTGCAGCAATGCCCCATGGGTCCTGGGGGACGCGGAAGCTCTGGGGCCGCCTGGCGACCTCTGAGACCAAGGCCACCTTCTGAACCCCAAGAGAGACAGGCTCTCTGCCTTCCACCGGCTCCTCTTTACAGCCTAACCCATCTCAGGCAGCTTCGGCTCTGACGGTGGAGCTGAGGTCATGGCAGTGCCACCCCTTGTGGCCACACCTGGTCATGACAGCATCCAGTTTTTGTTTTTTGTTTGTTTTTTAACACGTGGATACTTTATTCCAGCTCTAAGAAGTGGGAATAAAAATGAACATATCCTTCCACACACTACTCTTATTGAACTGGCATTAATTTTGAAAATTTAAAGCATATAAAAATGTATATATGTAAAAATATATAGTATATACATGTAAATATATAGATTCAGATTTTAGTTTCATTGGTGTTTATCATCTTTTTTTGCTTTCTAATAAATGTCATTAAAAGTCATTAAATGTGACCTAATCCTTCAACTTGTGTCACTTAATCATTTAATACTGTTTGCCTTGCATTTAGTTTGTGTGTTAATCACTGACCTGATTGGTCAAACTGCACACTAGAAGATATAAAAAAAAAACTTGATTTAAGTTATACTGTGTATGTCAGTTACCCATTGCATGAATTTTTTCATCATTTTCAACTTCACACATTTTGTAGTTCTTTATGCAGTCTACTTTAGCTTCTAGTGTTGTACATATCTTCATCTTCTGGGTAGGACTGCCCATGACCCATGAGTTTAGGGTCAGGCTTAAATGGGGTAGTACCTGAGGTAGGTTCTGATTTTATCATTGTCTCAGAACTGAATTCCGTTGGCCAAGACACTGAATGTTTCAGGATATGAGTTGTTTCTGTAGGTATTTCTGTTTCATCAGAGATTCCTAGCTTAGTTTTTCCTTTCGGCTCTGGCAGTGATTCTTTTTTTTTTTTTTTTGGTTTTTCTCTGGTACCGGGAACCAAACTCACAACCTTGCGCTTGCCAGGCAGGTGCTTTGCCGCTGAGCTAAATCCCCAGCCCCAGTGATTCTTTTTTGTTGCTTTTCATCCACAGTGATTTAAATGCTTCATATATTTGTGGACTTGTAGCATATACTTTTTTCCCAGTTACCTTTGCAATTATTACTGACTGAACTGGGTAGCAAACAGTTGCTCCTAAAGCAGCCAGTCTTACTGGATAAGCAATTTTCTTAAACCTGGAACCTTTTCTTGCTGAAACCAAGCTTGCCAATCCTGAAACTGTAATCACTCCCAATTTTGGAAGAAAATCTCGAGGAGGATTCTTCAGATAGACAGATGCATCTTTTCCAAACTGTACTGTATCCATTATCCCATTTTTCACAAAGACATATGCACCCTTGCACCAGCCAATATAACAGCCAGTTGTGGTGCGGATGGATGCAAAGCCCAGGTGTAAATAACCCGGCTGCTCTTCAACATACTTAGACTGAAGGGGGGCACAGTATATATGGGGGGCTGCTCTGGTCTCACTAGCTGCTTTTTGGGTTCCTCTTTTTTGGTCATACGCGCACTTACAGATGCACGTATCACACCCACAGGCATGCTGGTCAGCTTTCCTATAGTCTGTGGAGGTTTCAGCCCATACTTGGCTGGCTCCCAGGCCGAGTGGCACATGGCAGAGGGCAACCGTTCATGGCGGCAAAGGATAGCAAAGCAACAAGAGCAAAGCGGGGAGCAACAAACCTCTTTTCCTCCCTTACACTGTGAACAGGCTACCTCCACCCAGGGGGCATGCAGCCAGCACCCAGTTTTAAACCTCTTTAAGAGGAGCAATCCTGGGGAAGCAGGTCGCTCTGCTAGCACGATCCAGGCTCCCACACCTACCCGGAGGCCGCACTATCCGCTGGCTTGTGCCTTCCTCCCGCCCCTCCGTGCCACACCGGGTGGGCCAGCCCACACAGGGCAGGCAAGGGCACAGCCTGGGAGATGGCATCCTCCCCTTTCTGCAGCTAGGGCCCTGGTCTTCATCCTGCTTCCACCGCCTTCTTCCACTGAGCACAGGGAGAGAACACAGGATGCCTCCTGGGCTCCACACACCTTGCCGTCGCCCTCCCATCGCAGCGGTCACCTCCGCTACAACGTCAAGGAAGAGAACTTGGTGACAGCAAGCAAGACAGGAGGGAGCCGTCCCACAGCCACAGCTGCACAGGGAGAGGTAGCCAGGGCACAGGCCGAGGCCAGAAAACAGACTGGACGCAAGCGTTCGGGGACGAAGACGGATTTAATGGAATGCAGGGAAGAGGCCAGAGGCCGGCTGCTCTCACCCCTACGACCCCCGTCGGCTCAGCACGCTGCCTCAAAAGGTACCCTGGGCCCTGGGGTCTCCCATCGGTTTTGACCACCTGGGGTAGAACAGGAAGTGGGGCCGGGAGCCATCCAGCTCCCAAGGCGGATTCCAAAGCTTGCCCTTTGTGTTGTCTGTCCAGGGTGAGAACAGAGAGGCACCGGGGGGTCTTCTGCCTGCTGGCCTGTGGGTGTCCCCAGCCGGGCCCACAGGCCCTCTGAAGGCCTGCCCTTAGCAGTTTGACTCCAGCTCTGTGAGTTGAAGAAGAGATGTCCTGGGTGTGGCGGGGGTGGGGTGGCCTGCTTGGCTCCTCTGGGGCAAATCCTCAGCTGGGCACAAGAGCTGGCGAACTCTCTGCAAGGACAGTGGCCGTGGCTGTCGTGTGGTGGATGAGGACTGCCTGCCAGTGTCCCTCGGCACCAATACCCACCTGCTTCGTCACGTACCCGCCTCAGGATGCCAGCCCTGTTCCCACAGCCTGGGGCCTGCCGTCTCCCAGTCCCTTCCTGAGACCTCTAAGCTCACACTCCGTCCCTCCTTGGCACCTGTGCCAACTCCCTGGCCCCTCTGAGGACTGTCTCCCACCCCGGCAGGCCACCCACCTGTCTTCCGTAAGCTCACCTCCTCCAGCGGGGCCCCCACCCCTCTGGGGGGGCCCTTCCTACCTCCCTGAGGGGGCCCTTGAGACTGATGAGCTTGTAGATGCTGCAGGCAGGAATGCAGACCATGGAGGACAGAGCCAGGAGCCAGCCCAGGGCGTCACCCCACCATGGGTACTTGTACTTCTTGTTGTAGGTCAGCGGCGTGTACTTGATCAAGGAGAACAAGAAGGTGGCCTGGGGTGAAAGTGGGAAAGAAGGGTTGGGGGACCCTGTGCCCTCAGCACCCCTCCAGCGGCTGGCCTGCGAGGGTTTGTACTCCAAGCCCTGATGTGCTTCCCGTCAGCCTCCAAACTACACCGCTTTCTGCTCAGAACCACACACGCAGCAGGTACTCGCAGGACCCACGCTCTGTCACTCGGGGTCCCTGTGCCCGGGCACCTCTGCTCACGGCCGGCTCCTGGTTAAACAGGGCGATGTGCCTGGGAGCTTTAAGGCATTTAGATCTCCTGCAGCAGGAGGGAGGTAGAGCTGTGAGTACCTCCGGGAAGTGTCTGCCTCCCTGTCCACCTTCCTCATTTCCATCTTGCGCTCAGCAGGGCTGAGGAACGGCTGCCAGGAGCAGAAAGCCAAGGGGCAACACATTGTGTTCAAGCCAGGCTGCCTGGGTGTGGGTCCTGGCTCGCTAGGCTCTGTCACTCGGTAAGTTGCTTTGCCTCTTTGGCTTCAGTGTCATCTGTAACACGCACGTCATTGTGATTCTGGCCTTACCAAGTTGCAGGAAGCAACAAGTTCACGCATGTACATAAAGCACCTTGTGCCCGGCACATAATACGCCCTCTAGAACTGTCGCTGTCGTGGTGGCTGTGGTTTTTAATGTGATTCTGAGCAGCCCAACCTTTGGGTTTCAGTCCTGCTTGTGACATTAGATTACGCTGGGCCCTTGGTCAAGCTGTCTGACAGCACCAGACCTCAGCGCATCCCTCTGTGAAATGGAAAGGAAGAGTCTGTCTTGTAGATTTCTAGGCTTCGATGGGTGGAAGAACAAAAAATCTAAGATGATTTTCAAACTCTAGGGAGAACTCCACTCTAGAAGCTAATGACCGCCACCCCCGCCCGCGCTGAGCCCTCGGTCCCTGCGGTCATCCGTCTCCATCCCTTCCCTTTCTTACCACGCACACAACCGGGGTGAAAAAGAGCCAGCAGCACTTGATAAGCGGCCAGGGCTTGTACCCAATCATATCTTCAATATTGTCATAGAAGCGTCCAGCTCCTACCACAGAGAAGGGAGGGAGGAAAGGAAAAAGGACGTCTTCTGGGGTCAGGAAGGGAGCCGTACAATTTAGGTGGGCATGGACCAGTAAATGGAAGATATCACAGTTGTCTTTCCAAAGCACTGCTAGGGTCCTCTTTGCTAGGATTCATGGCATAAATGGCAGCAGGTAGAACTTAGTTTAAGGAGAGACAATCCCACCCTGATTTTCAAGGTTGGGCGACTCAGCAGAGTTTTGGTGAGGATAGAATGAAGCCTGCCTGGAGGGGACTGGGTGCAGGGACTGCAGGTGGGAACTCAAGGAAACTTCAGGAGGCCCTTCCAGCACTAGCCATCCGGGGTTTTTGAGGTTTCTGAGGTTGGGTAGGGTAGAGTCCAAGAAAACGTGGGTGTGGGCAGCAGATGTTGCCGAAAGGCACCAACGTGGAGGAGATACTGGGGTAGGGATCTGAGGGAAAGCCACTCACCATAAACCCAAGCCACACAGAAGGACTCAAAGATGGCCACGAACAGGAGGCACATGCCGCTGGCTGCATAGTAGTCAAAGAGCTGGAACACATACATGCCACCCTGCACAGAGGAGATTATCCCAAGGAGACAGACAGACTTATTCCCGTGCCCCGCAGCCTCAGAGCTCTGGGGCCCAGAGCAGCCTTGGTGAAATCACAGAAGACAGCTACTAAAAGAGAATGTGTTTATAAGCCATAAAAACACTCAGCAGATATGGAAAATAACTGCTTTATTATTGCTTTCTGACGGAAGATGAACAGAATCAGACAGCTACTGTGAGAGTGTTCCTGAGAGCACTTAGGAAGGTTCGAGAAGCCCAAGGTAGAGTGTGAACTCTTCTGAGAAAGGGTTGGGATGGAGTGGCCATTGGTATTGTCAAAATGCTTGGCTCTACCACCCCGCTTCTCCCCGCGAGACGTAACACAGGCGCTGCCTGTCCCCGCGGCTCCCTTTCCCCCTGTGAGCTCAACTTGGCTCCACTGCCTAGGGAAGCATGGGGTCTTGTTGGAGAGGCATCTTTTCCCAGCGCTCTCTAGGCCTCTTTGCTTACCATGGAGCCAAGTTCCCCCTCACCCATCCTTTCCGTGGGGTTGAGAAAGGGGTCCTCGGGGGAGGAGACCGTGGCCCTGACTCACTACTGCTGACTGCGCTGCTGTTCCTCCTCCTCACTGAACGCCCCTTCCAGCCTCCCAGACTCTCACCTCTGTGAGCATGACTAGTCCCAAAAGGCAGGCAATGACGGCCACCACAAGGATGAGGATCTCCCTCCGGTTCTTCCTGCGGAACCTCTCAGGGTACATGTCCACCAGCGCGGTGACCAGGCTCTCGACGCACACAAACTGGATGAGAGGGAAAGAGAGCTGCTGCGGCACTTGGTCAGCCAGCTCCGGTCCTGGGCCCCGGAGTCAGTCCTGCCGGCCTCCCTGACTCCAGCCCAGAGCTGCTGTCCTTGCGAGGTTAGGTCTGGAGCTCCCTGCGAGCTCCTCCAGATCCCCCAAGGGCATCCACTCTGACATTTGCCCAGTCCCCAACTATTTTAAGCTCCCTTGGGGCAAACAGCTCAACTCGTGTTTTTGTGCACCTCCCCAGCCCCCACACCCGTCAGCTCTCGGACTCGGAGAGGCCACCTCTTGATACCTGGCTATCGAGTCCCAGGAGAATGACCATGAAGAAGAAGCAGCAGGCCCACAGAGGAGAGAAGGGCAGCATTACAACAGCCCGGGGGTAGGCGATGAAAGCCAGGCCAGGGCCTAAGGTGAAGCAGAGGGATACAGCCCCATGCTGAGGCCTCTGCCACCCCAAGGCCTCTGGTATGGGGCCATGGAATAAAGACCAGAAGAAAAACTTCATTCCAAAGTTACCAGCACCACCACCATCCTGACCCAGTCAAGCCCCCCAAACCTCTACCTGGTGCCCAAATCTCCAAGGCACCAAACCACTGTATGCTCACTGGCAAGAGCAGATCCTAGGGGCCCTAAAAGGCTCTGGGCCTCCAGATCTGTTGCCCCAAACCAGAAATGTCAAACTTAAAACGAGTGCAGGAGCCAGCAGGCCAGACAAACCTATGAAGCTGACCTGGTGTAAAACAAGAAGGAATTTGAACATTCCTTGGTTGAGGCAATGACTTTGTCGGTACCACAGAAAGGACCTCAAGGGCAAGACTCGGCCTGGGGCCTCCAGTTTATCACTTCTCACCCTCCAGCAAGTGGCCTGGCGTTACTTTTAGAATGCCACGGCACCAATCCTCGCGAATGCATGGACGCCCCTCTCTGCCACTCGTGGGGCAGGAGCAAGTTCACAGGCCAGAGCCTGATTTAACCACAAGGAAGTTTCCTCTGAAAGATGCAGAGTACCAGTGGGCGGCTGTCTGTTCCCCAAGTCTCAGCTCCCACCCTGGGGCAGCAGGGACAGTGGTAGCACCTACCCCGTGGGTTTGCATCACATGACAAAACGCTTCATGCCATGCATGACAGATCTCTCATCCAAAATGCTTGGGACCAGAATGTTTCCGATTCTGGAGTTTTTTGGACTCGGGAATATTTGTATAGAATCGGCCAGCTCAGCTTCCCAATCTGAAGTTCAAAACTGGTCCACACAATCTGAAAGTTTTTGTTTTTGTTTTTGTTTTTTTTTGTTTGTTTTTTTTTTTTTTTTTTTT